TTTCTCCCACCCGTAGAAATTTAGCATCTTGTTCAAGAAAAATAATCACTTACTCTTAACATTACATGAACAGGTGCAAAAGTAACCAGACCGTTAACTTTGACCTAACACCATTAACTTTGATCGTTAAATGTTGACTGTACATGCCACGTGTTAGTCTTTGTTAATATGAACTAAAAAAAGGGACAAAAATACCCACGAAATCATCGGTTAGAAGCAAAAATACCCATAAAGTTACTAAAATTAGTGTAAAAGTGACCAATACATTCAATCTCTTAAATGTTGACCTTTAGCTGACACGTAAGTAAAAGTTAATTATTTTTTTCACTGATATAAACAACAAATATTCTTAGATGAAATTCTCTAAAAGTTAATCGATTATTGTATGAATATCATGCAAGAAAATGTTATTTTGACTGAATATTAAATTAAATTGCTTGTTGTTTCTGCAACAGTAGCAAAAATCATTTAAAAAATTTAAATCTATCATGAATGCAATTGCTTAAGGTTGTGATAATGTTCTCAAGTTAGATGTGTTCAGTCTCGATATTTAATTCTGAACAACCTATCTCATTATGTTAAATATCAAGTTTTGCAGACAAAAAAAATGAGTGGATAAAGAGAAAGAGAGGAGGCGAGATATGTGGTGATAGAAAGAAATCATATGGCATTGATTTTAACATATTAATCACTATTATATTTATTAAAGTAACATTATGGGTACTCAAATAATAATCGATCAACATTCATAAAAAATTATTTTGAAATATTTTTTGTCTGCATCAGTAAAAATATAATCAATTTCTGCTTAGGTGTCAACTAAACAGTCAACATTTAAGTGATTGGATGCATTGGTCACTTTTATACCAATTCTGATAACGTTATGCGTATTTTACTCTTGATCAATGACTTTATAAGTATTTTTGCTCATTTTTTAATTCACATCAATAAAAACTGACATGTGGTATATATAGTCAGCATTTAACAATTAAAGTTAACGATTTAATTACTTTTGCACCAATCCATCTAAGTACTTTAATTTGATTCCATCGATCAAACAATTAACATTTGGTGATAAAATGGTCAATAAACACAAAGCTATACAAATATACAAAAAAAAAAAAGAGTGCCATACTTGTTGAAAAAAAAAATTGTAAAAAATTATTTAAGATAATTAGACGCATACAAAAATGACCATAGGCACATATGAGGAAAATAAAACAGATAACTTTAAATTTTGTCAAGAAACATAGAGTAAAGTTAAAAAAAATACTTTAAAAAATTGCCCTTGATACTTTTTAATTAGTAATATTTTTAAAAGTTTAATAAACAATAAGGTGATACCAATGTAGCGGAACCCAGAGATAAGGTTTGTTGTTAAGCAAACAAATGACGCCCCAGACTTTAAAGCACTGTAGAAAGGAAGCGTCAGATCTTTAATAAATAGAGAAAACAACTTGACCTTGAATGACATTGGAGGCGCGAACATTGCCGTTGATGTATGTACCCACACACACACACACATCCTTGCGAACAAAAAAGCCGCGACCGGTAAACATCGATCAGGCTTGATGAAAAACCCATTGATTAAGTAGCTCAAGTAACTTCATTTAACAAGAACAACATGGATCGATTCATTTAAATGAAGTCTTATGCCACATTAATCAATGGTTCAGCCTCAAGCAGCATGGTAAATGACAGCGTCCGACCTCTCTGATCAGGGGAAAAAAAAAACAATAGACTCGACATTTCATTACATTGAAGGTGGAAACATTACGGTTGATGCCTTTCGGTGCCAAAAAAGCAGTTCCAACTAGAAATTTGGCCAAACAACAAACAGGCTCGATTACCCACTGATTTAATTACTTTTGCACCAATCCATCATTTATGAATAATTTTATCTTTTTTATTATTTTAAGATATTAAATGCTCATGGTTAATTATTTTGTGAGTAATTTTATTTTTTATTCAAAAAACAAAAAATACCCAAGTACTTCAAATTAAGAAGGCACGAGAATGAGGAAGTGCCGAAGGGATGAATGGAGGACGAGCTGTAAATTCGGGAGGATTCACGTGAAACTCTTAGTTAATCTGAATAAGGCGAGTGCTAGCTGTCGCCTGCAGAATACAAGCTGTTTCTTTTACAAAGTCGGCGCCACTCGAGGCTGATGAAAGTTTTCTGCTGCTTTGCTTTGTGCTTTATGTTGTTTATAGATTTGTTTGAATATTAGTTCTCATTCTCACTGAAAAAAATTATTTTCTATCAAATAATATATTATTATTTTAGGTTTTTATTTTCTATTAGATTATTTCATTTCATTCCATTCTTTATAGAAAAAAATTTATGTTAGTTAAATCCTGAAGTTTATCAGGGTTGAGACATATTTTTGAATTCAAAGAATGCTTATAAAAATATTTATAATTTATATATCAATAAAATTCTTATATCAACAATGAAATTTGATCACATACCATAATGAATTATGGGTTAAATCTATACCAATTTAACTAACATTTATTAGTTCATTTCTTTTTTCTCCAACAGCCATACAAGCATTGAGTTTTTTTAAATATATTTTCTCTATTTAAAATTATCAGATATTTTTATATTTTAAGAATTTAAGGTGTAGTTAATAATTTTTTAAAGACTCTTAATCAGGAGTGTAATTAATAAAATTTTTTAATTGAAGTATCCTATTAAATTAAATAAGAATAAATATGGAAAGAGTATACAATTTTAAAAATAATTAATTAATTTATTAAAAATATTTTATAATATTGAACTGACTATATAAATTCCCCTCAGAACTCCTCCCGCATTAATTTGAACAATTGAAAAATCCAAAAGGATAAGCAGGCGACGTGGGGCTACATATATGTCACGAATTCACGATTGGTGGATATCACGCTACTGTTTGCCACCGCGATCCCACTCCACTCCCGGTCGTTCTCATCTCACAGCCACACGGACTTTGTCTTCTACATTCGTTCTTGTCTTCGTCACGCTTTCCAACACTCATAAATAACAATTAACATTTGAGGAGAAAAGGAATTGAATTAATAAATTCCCCAAATGTCTCGGATACGATTCCAGTATTGCAGCTAAATTTCAGAGCATTTTAGAAGGGCTCAAAATTTGTTGAAATGCACAATTCATTAAAATAAACATATATTAGAATTTTATGAAAATTCTACCCAGCTTAACCTTCCTAATAATCACTTATTTTCAGAAACTATTAAAAAAATTAAAAAATTTATTATAAAAAATTAGACCATTACTTTTGAGCACATATTTAAAAAAGTTAATAAATATGCTCTCTCCGAGCTTTTTAAGACAATGTGAATATTATTTACTCCCTTCATTTAAAAATATAAAGCTGTTTTTGAAGAGTTGTATGTTAAAAAATGTAAAGTATTTTTAATCTTTTGATGTATAATTATTATTTTTTTAAAGTATCCCTATTGATTAATGACTTTATATTTATTATAAAATATTTAATAGGAATAAATATGAAAAGATAGGTTTAATTTGAAGGTAGATAACTGTTTTATTAAAAGATAAAATTCTGTTAAAAATATTTTACATTTTTTAATAAAAAAAGTATAATCTTTCACTTTTAAGATGCAAAACTCTTATAAAATTTAATATAACCTGATTTTTGTATTTTTTATATAAAATTTATTTAAAAAATAAAAATAAATAACAATTAACATTTGGGAACATCAAAGGTCTTTTTTTTTTCTCTCTAAAATTTTTATTATTCATATAGCCATATTTAATTAATTATTAGTTTTCAAAGAAAGTCTACATGCTTTCCATAGGGCAATAGGCCTGTGCTATCAGCTTGATTGGATTACGACGACCTCTTGTTCGGCCAACGAACGGATAACGATGACGTAAAATAATCACGATCACGCGCTTTAAACTTCAACTAGCCTCGTTAATGACAAATGCATGACCCGAAAAGGCTCGTTATCATTCGAATTAAAAACAAAGGCTTAAACAACAAAAGAAAGATCACGGCAAATGCATGTTACATCATTGTTTGTAAAAATATTAAATAGAATATTTTAATTAATTCTTCAATGAACTTAAAAATCATCCGATGTAACATTTTGAGCGAGAAAGCAAACCTATTTTGAGAAGTACTAGTCTCATTGTTGAAGGCCTCAGACTCATCTGCCATGTTATAGAAATAGCAAATAGGTCTGTTGAAACAACCTCCTTTATGCCCCGCTTATGTTCAAAGGGTTCTGATATTTTTGAGCCGGTCATAATTTTTTTAGAAATGGGAAATTCATTCAATCCAAAAACGAGCCGATTATAGTTTCATCATGGTTTTAGAAAGTTAAAGGCCAGAGGTCATGAATGAAGTTGCAGCAGTCTTGCCAAAGGGCAAAGCTACCCACTTGGGATAAACAAAACAAAGAAGATATGACAATCTTAAACCCACACCCAAAGATCTTTGTAGGTCTATGGTTTAGGCATGTTAGCGAGTTGATCCAGTGATGGGCTGATAGTACAGTCAATATCGGATTTCCAGGGTAGAAATCCACGTCATGCAAGCTATGCATGCAAGAAGGGTATGAGAGAAGGCAGGGAAGGGGCATCTAAATTGTTTCAGGGTCGTTGGTCACACCTAAGAATCCATCTTTTATGGTGCTGACGCAGAACTGCCAATTAAATGGTCACGCATGACATTGAGTCCCGTTCAGTTATTAGTAAAAAATGGGTTGAAAAAATTAAAATTAAAACAATTAAATTATTTTTTTAATAAATATGATAAAATTTATTAGTATATATTATAAATATTAGAATTATTAAACACTTAAAAATTTTCTAAACCCTTTAATATTTAGGAAAAAATTATATACTTGACCTTTTGTATTTAAAATGCTTTTGTCAAATCAAGGCGTGTAAATTTTTCCTACAATATTTATTTTATAATAAACTTTTATTATTAATATTATCAACATCTTAAAATTTAATTGTTCTGATTTATTTGGATAAAAGTATATCAACTATATAAGATTAAGTATCTAAATTTTCTCTAATATTACATTGGTTCATATTTCCCAATGAAGAATTTAGCAGAGTACTCTGCTTAACATCTATCACAAAGAGACAATACAGTATGCAACAAGCGTAGACGATTTCAGTAGCATCCACTCGAGTACCAATGATCTTTAGTCTCACTTCACCATCTTTCTGAATCTTAACCTGCATGAGACCAAGTGATTAATACCAAGCATACCACAATATCAAGTAAAGGAAAAGAAAACTAGTTTATTTGCCTTTTTTTATTTTTTTTTAAATTCTAACGAGAAGTTGAGGATGACATATATAGCCCGTTGGTTTGATACAGTGTAAGAAAATTACCTATAATCCTAATGCATCATAGAATTCTACCTGTTTGATTGGCACTAGGCAAAATAAAAAAGATTACATCATGTAAAAGAAATTACATCATACATTATAAAGATGATTACATCAATAAACTTATGTAATCTCCATTACAACCACATTTTATATCAAAATACCTCTTCTCATGTAGCATACCAAACAAACACATGTAATTTTCATTGCATTACATTTCATTTCCTAACATTACATTACATTTCATTCCTTCTGATTCTTTGAATCAAACAGGCCAATACTGACCCCTCTGAAGTAGTATAATTTGGCACGTCTCCTGCCTGGAACTCCACATCATCTGGAATCAGCTGAAAAGAAAGGCAAAGACAGAATAGTAATAAAAATAAAATGGCTTTGAAAATGAAGCATTTTCAGTGTCCATTTTAATTCAACCAAAACCTCGTTCACAAAACAAACGTTGATATTACCTACCAATAACTCGTATGGAACAAATAATTATGCTCACACATAATTCTAACATCAAGAAGGAAGTGCAGTGTGACATGAAGATGGCAGACTCTTTCTTGATGGATGGTTATATATAAAGCACACAAGTCTTACATGATTTGAAACAAAAATTTGGACACGTTCGGCTTCGGCAAAAAAAAAAAAAAAAAAAACCCATCTCTACAGGTTCAAAAGCTCAGCAGTCGCTCAATGAACAGTTATAAACCATTACCTGCACGCAACGCCATGTTAAATTACTGTAAACAGAGGAAGAACATCTACCTTGTTCACCATGGTGACAGCTGCTTCTAAAATTTCTCCCTTGAATGGTCTGAATACAACAAACTGGTACTTTACAGGAAATGTCACAAACCCTGTCCCATCACGAATTAGCCCTTTCCGAATACTTTCTATTCCTGTAACTGCCACTACAAATCCATGCCGATCAATGCATAAAAGTCAAATTTCAGAGAGTCGTATCTTCAGATTAGAATTTTACAGAAATAAATACTTTTCTCACGTTTAGCTTCAAACTATAATCAATCAATCATTAAAAAACATATGCTTCAATAAAGAAAATTGTTTGTTTTCAAATGCTTTTGACTATAGAAACGTTAGGATCGTTTAGATGAGATACATGTCACTAGACGTAAAACATTGAAGCGAAGTTCAATTCTGACACCCACTCAATTAGATTTTACTGGGGATAACAATACCAGCTACTGTTCCATCTCCCTAGTGTCCTGATTGTATTCCGTTTTCACTTGTCTTCTTTAATCAAGACCAAAAGAGAGACAACAAAGTTTTTGAATACCATGGCTCCACGAGTTTAGCAGATTTTAAGTGTCTTGGAAAGCTAACAACCGCCATTAACATCACCCAAAAAAAAAAGGGGCTCAACAGTGTGGAAAACAGAGTTTGTAAGTATACATATTAAATTTACCAAGCAATGGAAATTCTAAATTCAATTCAGTGTTCTACTTTTCAGCATAACCATATTCTCACCTGCACTATCTGAACAAGAGAAACCTAAATTTTGTCTTTTTCTTTTCTTTTTTTTTTTGGGTGTGGGGCGGCAGAAAGGGTCTAAAAATTACCTGCAAGTTCCTTCCACATCTTTCATGAGCTTGGCAACGATATTATCGCAAAGGTTACGGCCAAAGTAACGTGGATGCAACTGCATATTCCGCTTCAGAACTATATGGAAAAACATTTTCTCGTTGGCCTACCTTCTTCCTGCTTTCATATTAAAACCGGAAAAATAATCCAAGCCATCAGACAAGACATATAAAACAACAACACAAACGCAATTTGAAAAACTCAGTCGCGTATAGTAAAAATGAGACTTTATGTATCGATGTAATCTTTACTAATACCAAGACAATGTCTTTTCTCCCCTAAATGGTATTCTACACAGACAAAAACCTGGGTTAAAAGAAAAAACGGGATCAACAGTTCCAAACGATCTAGACATTAGCAACCAATTCATAAAAGCCGGGAAGAGGCACAGATGGGCCACTGAAAATTGGAAGCACAGGGTAGGAGGAAAAGGGGAGGATGAGAAGAAGAGGCTAGAAGAGATCAACGCAGAGGTTTTAAGGGGGAAAATAAAGTATGAGTAAATTGAGAAACGAGCGATGGAAATTGCACATGAAATGAGACGAGCCCAATACATTTCCGCCGGTGACGTCGCTGAGCCTTAATGCGTCCGCAGGGTCCAGATCGTTCAGCCGCTATTGTTCAGTCCTACTCCAACTCAGTGGGGTAACTGCACTGGGATGTGTACTTGATCTTAAAGCCGAGTTGTTTTGAAATGTGCAGTCAAACAAATTTATTATTAATTAAATAATTTTTAAGGATTAGATATTTTAAAATATAAATCTTTAAAAATTTAATTATTATTTTTTTTATAACGTCTCTATTGATGAATGAATTTTTATATTTATTATAAATTTTTAATTAAAATAAATATAAAAAATAAAATTAATTTAAAATATGTAATTATTATATTATGAATAAGATTCAATTAAAAATATTTTATAATTTTATATTGAGGGAGTACAAATATATCACATCTTCAAAACTCTAACAACGATATTGCAATCATGTACTTTAAATTTAATTTTGTAAGATTGATAAATTTATTTTTCTTCACATACTTCTTAATTAGAAACTTCTCTTAGTCATTGTTTTCATTTTTATGGGCATAGCATATATATGATTTATTGAATAGTAATGTAGTATTAGTTGTTCTACTTAATTTAAAATCGTTGTTCAGATTTATTTTTTACCTTTGGATATAATTATGATTTATAAATACTATTATGACATAAACCATAATATGAGATTCATTATGATACATGTTTCATTTTTCTCACGATGCATTGACCAGAAAACTGTTAAAGAAGATAAACTAATCTTATTTTGCATGATATGCTAAAATGAAAAAACTACTCATAATTTTTAGCATGCATGAGGGCAACACGTTTTAAAATTGAAATTATTGCTTAGAAATTTAGACAGAACAAATAATGACAAATCTAATAATACTTGTTAGAGAATAATTTTTATTCTTTAATTAACTTTGAGGTAGAACTTAACACAAAATTTATTCTTTAACACAATTTTAAAATTTTCCCTCACATCAACTGAAGGAAGAGCATAGATGTAGGTGTTGCCTTCTTAAATCTATTATAGGAGCAACATATTTTAAAATAAAAATAAAGTATTATTTATATCTTTAACATATTTGGGTAAAAAAAATTCAAATAGAATAAATTCTTATTTAAAATTGAATTTACATAAGGTAACATATTACTAGTACACAAAAAAATATTTTAAAATTTTCATTTTTTATTTTATATTTACTTTTCAAATGATAAAAGATGCTTATAAAAAAAGTTGTCAAACTCGTGAATAATTAATGATAGAGATGTAAATTTAAATAAAAAATTTATAAGAGTTTATCTCTATTAATAAAGAGCATTTCAAAGTATATAATTAAATAATTAAAATATAAAATATGATTATAATTTAATTTAAATATAAATAATTAAAATTAAATTCATCTATATTTATATATTATTATATTTAAAATAGAAATTTTAAAACAAGGCAACTGATTTTTTTTATTTTTTATTTTCTTTTTTATTAATATTATTTTTTGTATTTTTAGTTTTATTTTTTATTTAAACAGGTTCTACCGCTTCTATGAATCAAGTTTTACATAATATATACATATATTACTCAATTAATTTATGAATAAATTGACATAATTTTATAAATTGAAGACATAAAAACAGTAAAATAAGAGAGTTAATTGGTTAGTTTAATTGAGTTTTATTTAGTTTGAATTTATAAGTGAGTTCATATGATTTTGTGAACCAAAAATGATAAACTCATATAGCCAATTTAAGAGTTTGACAATAATATTTATAAATACTTAAAAATATCTCAAACAAGTTTTTGCTTAATCTATATACAAGTAAAAAAAAAAATCCTGTATATTGCACAGGGTAAAAATTTAGTTGTATATTAAAAAGGTTATTGGCATGAATATGAATGTTTAAGGCAATTTATTGAGTTTCGAGAACTACGTGCGTGCACGGCTTATTCATTTCGGCTTGTTTTTTAAAAAAAAAAACTTATTTTTTTAAAATTTTATTGCATGATATTTTTATATCTATTTAAACTTTTGAAAATAAATAGAATTAAAAAAATAATTTTTTAATTATTTTAAAAAGCTATTTTAAGAAGTTTTTAAAAATAATCTCATGCAATAGATGAGAAAGAATATTTTTGAAAATGCAGGATATGCAAAAATATCATAATTTTTTTAAAATTAAATAATGAAGTATTTTTATAAAAAAATAAAAGGATAGATCATAAGACTTACAAATAACTAATTAATAATTATTTTTATTATTGCAATTAACATAAAATAATATTTACTTTTTATAAAATCTCTACAAAATAAATATCTTTTTATCAAATCTCTAAACTATCTAAATATTATTTATTTCTTAATCTTAAACAAACAAACATTCAAAGTTATTAGAGTTTTTTTTGGTTCAGCTTTATTTTTAATCATGTTTCAAAATTAAACATCAAAAATCTAATCAAAAATAAATAAATGACCTGAAAAATGAAGCAACAAAAATGTACTTCTTTTGTTTAAAAATGTAAGGTATTTTTAACCGAATTTCACCCCTCAATAAAGTAGTTACATACTTTCAAATTAACTATATCTTTTTATATTTATTCATATTAAACATTTACAATAAATATAAAGTTATTCATCAATCGGGGCACTTTTAAAAAAATGTAATGATTATATCTCAAAAGAATAAAAATACCTTACATTTTAAACATCCAACTAGTCAAAAAATATCTCATATTTTTAAATTGAGGAAGTATAATGCGGCGTTTTAAAAATCAAACTAGACTAGATAATCCAATCGCCACCATTGATCAAAACAGCATGGTCCAATCAGTTGAACCAAATTGACTGAGGTTGATCCAAACGACTTTGAGATGTTTTTTATATTTTTAATAAAATGTTAATGACAAATATATCTTAATTCAAACTTTTCAATTTTAGATATAATTATTATGTAAGATTAACTAATTTTTTCAAGCTGGGTGAATTGATTAAAATTTGATATATAAAAGCAAACATGGATAAATTGATCAATTTAAATAATAAAATATTTTATTTTATAATATATTATTTAAATTTATATGTTATATACAATTAATTATCTTATACATATATAAAATATAAGTAATAAATAATAAATCTCCTATTTACAAAAAAATAAAAAAATAAAAAAAGATCTCATACATTTTTTTACGAGTCTCATGCCTATAAGCATCTTTGTTGTGAATCCCATACTCATTTTTAATTTTTGTTATGGGTTCCGCATGAATTATTAATATACAAAGTTTAAATTTAAAAAAAAAGAAAAAAAGGCACTGTTCATTCAACAGCATGTGAACAGTACGTAACGCGCTTTACTATATATATAAATTTAAGATTTAAGACCTGGCGTCATGTTTGGGGGAAAATGTTTAGTTGTAACATTATTATTATTACTGTTATTAAATAAATATCTGAAAGTATTAATAATGACAAGCAATAATTTAAAATATCTGAAATATGAAAGGAGGCTGGTAAAAAGGACTGCATCCGGGATCATGTTGGTGAACAAGGCATGCCCTTGGCCTTGCTATATATATTTTTAATGCATTGCACTTTCTTTCAAGAGCCAATAGTAATAATTTAAAATAATAAAATATTTAAAAATATTCAATTCTGTAACTTTTTTATCTTTTCAGTTCAAAACATAACAAAATGATTATATATTAATCTAGTTTTTATATATACAAAAAATAAAAATGATTATTTTAACATATTGATAAGATATGTATTAAGAATATGATATCATTATCCAGCATATTAAACATGCATTCTTATAATACTCATATCTTATAAAGATATTTTACAAAATCAAACAGGCCGAGATAATATAATAGGGGAACAAACACATTTCTCCTCCCTTTCTAATCGTTACATAGAACACTTAATAGATAAATTTGGACAAAATTATTATCTTTTGCCAACAAATTATTAATTATTTAGCAAGACGTCTTGTTTTGCAAACACAGTAAGACATTTACATCATACTATTAATTATGATTAACCTAATTTCCTCCTGGGCTAACAATAAATATAGGTTTTCGGAGATTCGGCGCACAGCTTGACAGATACAACAAGACTGCTCTGTGCCAACCCAGAGATTCAGTTTTGAAAGTACAGAGGCCACTGGGCATCTAACCGCATCTCCGGTTTCGTTGCCAGCTACCGGCCAAACTAAGGTATGCGAATTTAAATCTCCACTGTTTCTCATCCCTTTCGCTTTCCGTATCTCGAGAGGAACACCCTTTCTCGAGTGAGATTCTGAATCCGCTTATAGGGTTCGGCTTTCAATCTCACTCTATCTTCTATCTCTTTCACCTCGTTCCTCAACTATCCTGATCTTCAATTATCAGGCACACCCCCCCCCTTATTTCTGATTTCTGATTATAGTCTTTAGAGTTCAGAGTATGGTTTCTGTGATTTGGATTTTCTTTTAGGTTTGCATTCTCTTTGTTGCTTCCAAAAAGGAGGTCCTGAATATGTTATATTGGCCTTCAATTTCGTTGTTTGCTAAACTTTTTTTCCCCTTCCTCTTGCAGGGCACTATGGCTCTTAGCGTGAAACAGATGGCTACAATTGTCACAACTTTTGGCGTGTTGTCTTTCATATTGGGAGTTATTGCAGAAAACAAAAAGGTGATTAATTAAACAAGGATTTTCTGGGGTGTTCTGTGGGACAATTTAAGGTGGCTGTGTTAATCTGTAAATAATCCTGAACCTTCCATCCAGCGTGCCTATTATTAAATTTGTAGTTCAAGTGGTAAGTTAAGGATGTGATCTATTTGAAGGCAGTCCCTTTTTTGTTGCTTGGACAAATTAGCTGGAAAGTAAAACTAAACAGTCACATACAATGCACATTGATAATTCTCTTTTCTAAACCCTTGCTATATTCTGTCTATACAAAGTATGTATTCCGATGAGCGATAACCAATGTATTGTGAAGGGTGAGATCTATTGGAAACCCGTTCTCTTTAGTCTTTATTGCTTGAACAAATTAGGCTGACAGTGTTATGGTAACAATACATACTCTCACATATACATGCTACGCATCAGTATATCAGTTCCCCCTCCCCCCAACATACGTTTTCTGGGTTCGTAATATGTTTATTTAAATTATAATCTAAATTGGTGATCTATTCTTCTTTCGTTGCTATAGCCTGCTGCCGGCAACGCAATTACTACCAAGGGTGGTGTTATTTGCCAGTATCCATCTGATCCTACTGTTCTATTGGGATATCTCTCAGCAGCATTTCTTGTTGCCTCTGCCGTGGTTGGCTATTTGTCTCTGTTTTACCCCTACAAAGGACAATCTATTCCACAAGGGGTTTTGTTCAGAAGCGGTAGTTTCATGGTATTCTTCAACATTGCACTGTAAGTAGACTTTTCTCATCCTTCATTAAGCCGTTATTTAGATCATCTTCGTTTCATGTCAATGAATCATGCGATAACAATATTTCATTCTTGTTCCTTGATCATATAAACAAAAGATATCTCGAGAATTTGATAGTTCTACCATATTTTGAGAATTGAATTCTGGGTCTTTCTGGTACAAAATGACGTAGCTGTTTCGATTACTAGAAAGATTTTTAAGTAATGACTTGACAACATGCTTCTTTGATGCGTCATACCATGGTATAGTTATTATTATTCATGTTTGATATGACAATTGAAAGTTGTCCTAGAAAAGACACCGTCATTATTTGATTGGAATTTAGGAATTTAAAAATGGTGTGATATGAGATATTTGTCGTGTGGCCATTTACTCCCCCCCCCCCCCCTCCAAAAAAAAGCTAATTCAATAGGCTGTGCAACCATTTATATGCTCAAGACCTTCTCCAAGGCTTTTCAAAGCGAGATACAATAGCTCTTTCATCCAATTTGTGAGGCTCCTGTCACGGGTAGTCCACTGAAAGGGCCTACAAAGTGGGCGAAATCTAGATTTGGCTTTGATGCCATTTTATCATAGGGCCTAAAAAGTTAGTTTAATGAGATGTGTAGTGCATTCATTTATATACCTAGAATTCTTTCCAAATTTCTCTGACATGGGATGTAACATACCGCTCAAAGACATATTGACTTGCATATCTTTCTATCAAACATACCCACCTCCCACCACGCGTCCCCTTTGACAAAGTTAAAATCATTGTATGCTAACCATCTTATTGGTTTAAGCATTCTTTTGGTCGGTTTTATTTTCATCTCTCTTATCTTGATGTGGTACCAGCTGAATAACTTCTGTCGCATGGCGTATCATTATTATTATTTCAGACTTACAACCGGATTAGCCGCAGCATTTCTGTTATGGCCAACGATAACGGAACAGCTTCACTGGTCACAAAATGTTCATCATAATCCCAACTACGACTGCCCTACAGCTAAGACTGGTCTTCTTGGTGGTGGTGCCTTTTTATCACTTGATTCATCTCTGTTTTGGTTGATTGCTCTGATGTTAGCTGGCAATGTCCGGGAGGATTTCTTCGATGATGGCAATGATGGTGGCAAAGCCTCCTCAGCTGATTACGTGGTGCAGATGTAGTGGATAAGGGCATTACCTTAGGTTTGCAAATAAAGATAAACAAGAGATTGGTTGCTTCTTTGTTACTGCTACTTTGTCCAGTGTTATTATTCCTGAACTAGGGTACATGTAGATATTTTTCACGTGGTTATTCAGTCGGTTGTGTTCAGCTTTCCAATGGATTAATTTATTACAACTAAACGTCGTCTTAGTTACTGCAACAGCCTCCGACGCTTAATGTTAGTTAACCAACGGTCACACGAATATTTCTCTGAATTTTTCTGCTTATTTTCAGCTTTTAATGACAAAAGTGTGAGTTCCATTTCCCAAAGAACAACACACATAAAACCACTTTATTGCTCCAGTTGCTTTGGCCTCGTTTATTTTCCTCTTGCTTCCTCAATACCGTTAACGCGAAGGGCAAAGGTATCTCTTGTAGCCGTAGTCTGTTACCCGAAAGGCACATACAGACCCGCAAATCAAATAGACGTATGCTTAGCTGCTTCGTAGTTTTCACAGTCCGGGTCCCAGTCAAGGGCCAGACAAGAAAAAATGGCTGATCGCTGACCAGGCCCGCGGGGTTCCAAGTCATTCTCAAACCACTGGATCAGCCAGTGAGTAGAACCCCATACAGAACCCCGAAAGACAATTATGCTCCTGTAAAATCGCAAAAGAGTGAATAGAAATCCCTAGCTGATCTCTTTCATCACCCACAGCCTCCTGAGAGAAAGGTGGGGGATAATTTAAGGTACAAAAGTTAAACAACCTAGCTAAATAGTCAACATAAGTTTTGGAGCTTCTATTGACATGTTGAATAGATAACTTCTAATTTCTACAGCACAAAAACCATGCATCATCAACAATATCCTAGAGGGGTAGATGCTAATGACATTGAGTTATAAGCCACGATCAAACCCAATACTTTCTATTTACAAGAAAGCTTTCATACCACTACGACGCAATTCAATGCTTTCCTTTCAATCCCTTCTGCATAAATTCCCGCAACCAGTCGGCTACTTCACCCCTGTTCATGTGTTTGTACTGTAAAAACAGGCATAGTAACATATTTCACAAGTTGCAACATTGGACTGTATATGGAAACATCGAACCACTGCTTTAGGTAATCTAACTAACCAATGTATAATGGCAGCACCTAGCCACTGCTGCAAGACTGGCTCATTGGCCACCATAATAGTGAAGAGAAAACATCTAATGCACTACAGGCAGGCTACATAATCCCCATACTCTTTAAAATATGGCAGGACGAATGTATAATCTTTCCTCACTTCATCCTAAAAAAATACTCCTCTCACCTAAAATTTTCACCAAGATTTTCAATAACATTGTCATGTGAAAAATGCTCGACTTCTTAAATTTTCTTGTTAAACATTGGTATCCAATTTATTATGATGACTTTTTTCTATTAGTTGGTCTTAAACAAAATGTACAGCCTATATAGTTGGTGGTAGCAGGGGCAAGAATCCCCAATCTCTGCTTCACCGTTAGTTGCCAGCAAGCAGCAACTGGTCAATCAAGGTAGCTTAACTGCCAATCACACAAGTTGAGGTAATATGTGACTAGCTAACGAGCTACCAAGCATGATTTGTAACAGCTGTATCCTGATTGTGGGTAATTGCCCATAATTGTAGTCATTGCAGACCACAATTGCAGTCTAATGCGGTTAAACAGCCATCACAACGGCAATTTTGCTAGCACATTGTCAAACACTGCTACACATTAATTGATACAAAACAAACAAAGACAGGCAAAACTAGGAAGTGCTAACTTGTTACATGCGTCAGGATTCAGGAACTTGGGGTATGTAGTTTGACAGACGCAATCAATGAAATCTTACAGGCTCACAGAGGAGCAGCTTCACTGTAATGGTCAATCAAACAAGACTTGTTCTAGGTGAGCTTACTGACCATTCACACACAGAAAGGCAACTCCAAAGCTGCCGTGTGAATGGCTAATTGGCCACCTTCAAAAATACAAACATAACTCCTGCTGTAACACATAGCATCCACATCGATTTACAAGTTAGTGAAATTACTAAACACTACAATCTTCCGCTCATTTCCAAGCACGACTAACATATTGTACGACAGATCACAATTTTCATGTTCATCAAACTACCATTTCCTGTTAAAAAATGGTCCAAAAAAAAATTAAAAAAAGAGAGAGGAGAAAGCGTATGAAAATATAAAGACGAACACAAGGAACAACAACGAGATCGAAGCTCCAATAGGAGACATTGAAATCAAGAAGGTGTATCTGACATCATTGAACTCACTCCGAGACACACCACTCTTCGAGCGTCATTTTCGCCAACTGTTTTCAGTTGCCATTAATTAATGACAACATAAAAAGAGCAACGTCAAAAAACGAAATCAAATTGAGGTTACATGCTGAAGCTCGAGTTCAAGAATCACCTCCCTCACAGAGAAGTGAGGTGCGGCGAAAACACAGAAATGCAGGGTTACTGTTAGGGTTTCCACTGACTTCGATTTGCCGTGTCTGTTAAGAGTGTTAGGCTACAAGTAGGAGCAACTCCGGATCTGCCGGTTTCAGCGTAGAGCTTCTGGGTAAACGGGTCTTAATCCTGTGGTCAAGGGCAATATGGGCCCGGCCAGGATTTCCAAATTCAGCCCAGGCAAAGTAAATTCCGCTTGGGCCTTTTTATTACTTTAATCGTTTCCTTGTTTAATAAATTTGACTTTTTATAAAAAGAAGCAGCAAAGTTAAAAAAAGAATTATTGATTTATATTTCTCGCATCTAGCAAATATATGTAGATGGAATTGGATAGATATAAAAAAAAATAAGGAAGGGGAGAAAACACGTTTTGTGATGTGATTCTTTGTCACTATGCTATGCAACGGATATTTACAAGGTAGGTATATATATATATATATATATATTTGTTTTTCCATCAAAGAGATAATCTGAAGTATACATAACCTTTTTTTCACTTATTTTTAATTTTATTTCTTTCTTGTATCCTTGTGCACCTATTTGGAATTCCAAAAAAAAAAAAAAAACATACCGTTTAGGCTTTGGACATGGTGCTCCTTTAAATCTATAAGTATATTAATAATGTTGATATTAATGATTTGACCGCAATTGGAAGTTTTGTCGTATCTTTTACATGTTTTACTTCCTATAACATTTGTTCGATAAAAAATAAACTTGACAAGTATGAGTACTGCTTTTAGTTTAGAATAATAGAAAGTTGGATATAAAAATAAAAAGAAAATAAAGTCAAGGTGAAAAACGACCTGATAACTTTTTGAAAAATATAAAAATAATAAAAAATAAAGTAGTTATTACATTAAACAAAATCTATTTTTTATACTTAAATTCTCTTATTTTTTATTTATTTCACCAAACCAGAGTACCGATCACCAAACCAAGCTTCAACTATTTAAGTAGGCCTTTTTTTATATATATAAAAAAATTAGGTAAGTAAAATTTCGAGAGCTTACCAGGCATGTCTCTAGACTTAATAAACATCTACAAAAGAATTTACAAATTGCCCTCCAACACAATCCTCATATTGAGAATAGAATTTGATTCAAAGATTATGAATCACATCATTACCAACTAGACCATTTACCGGCAACTCTTCATGGAGGACTTGGACGTCATTGCAGACCCTTAGCCCCGGAAAATGTGTGGGCTCATATTGGAAACAGCTATTGCTAATCTCACCAGAGCCCAAATCATATATACAAGTGTCTAATGTCTTGACTCAAGGATGCCTTTCCTAAATATCCAAAAAAGGATGTCTTTCTTAAATATCCAAAACTATCTTGGCTGATTCAGCAATAAGACACTCCGACTTTGGACGTGTTACATTTGTTTCCGGTAGGTTTTGTTTGGCAATTCCAAGTATGAGAAGAAAATATCGAAATCAGCTACTGATAAATACAGATTTAAGTGTTGAAAAAAATCGGTGATCAACCTCGTTGGTTCTTTTTTCTTTTTGGCCAAAACCAACCTCGTTGGTTCCGAGGAGACATTTTATAAAGTGTATTCAACAATCATATTCATTCAGGGACATTTCTTTCTTTGGCGTTACAAGCACATTTCAATTTTACTTGGGTATTCAATCCAGGTTGATAAATGTGATATTCTCTGTTTTTTGGGCTAATGAGTTGATCAATGAGGAGGAACAAGTATCAAAGCAGGAGGTGAATGAGATGGACCTACGGCGAAGCCGAATGTGACGTTTTTGTAGTCAAGTGATAGAATTGTACCTTTTGGTGATTGTGGATCTGTGGTGACTTGCCCTGAAGAAGAACAAAATGGAGGAATATGTCTGGTCTTGGTCATTGAACAGACCCAAACAAAATGAATCAACTTCACGATGGTGAAAATGAAGCTCACCAGTTTATCATGGGATCAGGACCCTCATTTATGGGATATTTTTCATTTGCTCTTGAACCCATTCTTCATAATCTTGTAGCAGCTGCTGAATTAGCAATGGCACGAGCTGGTCCACCAATGCTTGCATCATTCTGCACATGCAAGTGTTTGGAGGCATAAGGAGATGAACAAAAAAGCAATTATGCAATTTTTTGGAAGTATAAGGAGTTACTTTCATGTTACAGCTCATACTCTAAGGAAAATATATCACAATACTTACAAAGGAGCTGTCGCTAGAAACATGAATCTAAGGAACGGTAGTATTACAACAAAAAATTATATGCACTGCTACGCAAGAGTATCTAAGCTGAGAGCCACATGAGATGAATATCCGAGTGCAAAACCAAAAGCCAAGACATTATTGACTCACAGAGTTCCAGGACGCTCAACAGCTGCTTTAGGCAACATGGTAAATGGACGCGTGTAAATCTGCCAGTAAAAAGTTGTTAGGAAGGCAGGAAGCAAATGGGAGATCAGTTTAACACGAAGAAATATATTAATAACTACTGATTGTTTCACAAAAAAAATATTTAGCTCATTACATTATGTAACTATATGCTGCTAAAAAGAACCAAGATAAGGAAAGGCCAACTTTAGAAGGTGATTGATTTGTACAACCTCGCACAGGTTGTACAAATCAATCACCTAGAAACTTTAGAAAATGGTTGAAATTATCAGCTAGGTCTCTGGGTTCTCTGTTCCATGGGGTGACACAATCCTCATTCCTCACATAATCTATAGAAAGTTTCGAGAGAACCTACAACTTGTTTGAATTTTATTTTCCCCCAATCAATCTGATAATTTCAACCAATGGCACAGGATTAACTTTTCTAATTTTTGCAAGGATCAGCCATCAAGTGCATTTTTTTACTCAATTTGTGTGCCTGCCTTAAGTTTTTGGGGCAGATAGCATCACTAGACAAAGCAATCTCTTAAAGTAAAATAATTCCTCTTGTCCAACTATTACTAGTTTCCTCAACCAATGACATTTTCAGACCTGAAAACGGCTTTGTCCAATTAAGGCAGCTTGTGGCCTATGATATCAAATTTTACAATCATATACGCGACTTTCTCTCTTCTACTCCTCAGTAATGTGTAAGAAAAAAAGGGAAAAGAACATTAGTGGATATCGATGGAACACAAAATACTTCACTAGTATATCTTTCATCAGGATAAGGACGACCTCAAGAGTGATATTCAACTTAACATCAACTTCTAGAAATGATTCAGCATCATCCACCCCCCATGTCATGTGATTTATCATGAATGCTGCAAATCCAGAGTAGGAACATAAATAAGTGCCATAGCTATGGAGATAAAAATAAAATAAGCAGAAAACGGTGCTGGACAATGGCAATTTTCCTTATGCTAGAGGAGACAGATCAATAGGTTGCAGAAGGAGTTGGTTGTTTGTGCAAGGATCTTTAGAAAATAAACGTGTTGTGATTTTGATTCAATGATTTTGCAAAGCTTATAGTCCAAAGTAAAATCATTTTTCTTCTACTTCTCTCTTCTGCATTCAGAAAACCATCTAGTGTTTACCTGAGAAGTGGTCGTTTTGTCGCTCCACAACTTCTGAACCCTCAAACTGTAAGACAGCGAAGTATCCAACAAATTGAAATGTAAATCCATCAGGCGCATGTTCAATCAATGTTCTTTTTTATTCTTAAAACTAACTAAGATTTCTTGAAACCACACGAGTTTCAGTTAAGAAGCTGCCTTCCTATTTGTAAAAGGATGCCCACTCAAAATCAGTGTCTAATTGTTATTATTACTTCCCTCAGTCCTAAATGTAAGAGCTAGTTGAGGAGCTCTTTTTTATCCTAAATATAAGACCTCAATATATTTTATCTCTTAAATTTATAATTTTTTTCCAAGATGACTGCAAAAATATTAAAGCACGGACTTCATTAACAGGGCTGGTTTCCAATGCATATGATTAGAAGGGGTATTCTGAGGAAATCAACACACATTTTTTACAAATAATTAACCTAACTAATTTCCTTAATCTTTGTAAATTAGTTATCTAACTTTTATATTTAGGACGAGAGGGAGTATTATTTATAATTTTTTCCCCAATCAACATCGCCCAGATGCATTTCACTCTAAAGTACAACCTGTATGAAGCAAATTCATCCTATTATATTTATACCTTACAAGATAGCATCTCCACAACACAATCTTTATTTGTTGGCGTTACCCGCAGATCCAGCAAAGGAACAGCTTCAAATTTCAGAAGTTGAAGTTTAGGCAAAGCGCACCTGCAAAAATAAGTATAATAATCACTTGATCTTAGACGCAATCAGCAGAAAGACAAGGCGCATACGACAGTCCAAAGAATTATTCACCAAAATAAAAAGTTGCTGTCTAAACCACTGGAGCGCCGAACTCCATGCTTTAGATGAAACATGAATTTCATACACATGGATGTAAAATCCATTATCTATGGCGGAGCCTCTGAACCTATCTAAAAGGATTGATGAAGCCAATATAGAACAATTTAAGATGTGGAAGACCTGTAAGTGTTAGCGTCAAGACATTCACAAGATTCCAAGGCCCTTGTGTTCAACATTGCTTCAATTCCACTGGGGTGCCTTATAAAGTCACTAAAGTGGTACCCTGGCCCTTGCAGACCACCGCTATACGTTGGAAGCTTCACTCTTTCCTTTTTTGCGGCATATAAATTTGCTTTCTTTGCATTTGAATCAGAGGAAGTCACTTCGCTCACCTTGATCTCTATTTTCCTCCTGAAAGTCAAATTCAGAACATAAAGAAGCGTGTATCACCAAAAGTCACAGTATCCAGGCTTGCAATTCTACAGAAAAAAGAAAATGGCCGTTCCATTGGCTTTCATAAAGAAGGAATTGCAACGGCAAGAAATCTGTTGGGGTATTCTAAATCCCAAATAGGTATATTTAGCTGTTACTTTTATCGTTTTCCCCATGACCGCCTAGCTATTACTCTTATCACAGTATAAACAGGTGAAGTACCGAGGGCTAAATGTAGGGATGGATGAGGAGGATAAAGATGTGAACCAGCCTTGTCCACGACCAAACGTCCTCGCATATATCATGATTTTGATTACAATCGCTGGAAGCGCAACATCATGTCAAAACATAGAAAATCATGAAGGAAAAGCGAAAAAGAAAACAGCGCATTTCTCGGAAGCAATGAGAAAAGTTTTTGATAATAAGGAATAACAAATTCTCACTATTACTGTCTGGCGGAAGAGACTCAGAACGAGGATCGAAATATGTTGATCAGTGAATAGCTGATAAAGTTGATCTCAGGCTGCCGAAATGCCACCATGAAGTTGCAGCGTGGCCTACCATTCTCCCTCTCAGTTCATCTGTCTGTGGACACGAAGCACATCCTCATCAACGAAAGGTAACGGCAAAACAAGAAATAACTGCCAGGTGCCATCATCTGCGGCCTTTATCTCGTTGTGTTCCCCCAACTAAAATCCTTTGTACTCCTCGGTCCAAAACTATAACACTCCATCCCGTTCCATTAGCGCGCACATTCTAGAAAATTAGCTTGATTTTATTTAGAAGCTATAGTGTAGTTTTTAAAATAGTATTTAAAAAACATTTTTAAAATTATTTTTATGAGATAAAAAAAGTATCATAACATTGTTTATTTTTTTTATATAAAGACATATTTAAAATTTTATACAATTTTATTTCTTTTATTTTTTGTTATTAGATTGGTGAGATTAGTAAAAAAACTTATAAAAGGGATGAGAGAGAGTACATTTTTAAATAAAATCACAACATATTAATGATGTTTATTAAATATATTTTAAAACTTTATTCTTTGAAGATAAAAATATAAACTTTTAAAAATATTTTTTATTTAATACTCCATATATAAAAAATATTAAATTAAGAAAATAATTGAGAAAAATAATATTAAAATATATTTAATAAAAATTTGTTTTTATCAAAATATTTTATATTTTGAAACATCAAATTCTATTTGAAGACCTTGCATGTATAAAAATGAACTTTAAAAGATCCACTTATAATTTTGTAAAAACATAATTTATTATTTTAAGAATATTTAATTATAATTTTCAACAGCAAGTCTCCAATTTTATGGAATTCCAACTTATCTTGTTTCTTTCCAGACAAACTATTACAGCGGGGGATTCACAAGAGAAACATCTAATTTTCAATAGCCTAATTGTAAAGGTGTTCATAAGTTTAATTGGGTTTGACTGTGACAAAAAAATTAAACCGAGCCACCAATTGGTTCACTAAAGATTAGGACTTGTTTGGTTTTTTTTTTTTAATCGATTTGGTTCGGCTTTTAAATGTTTTGGTTTGAGTTTAAAATTTTTTGTGAGATATTTTTTATAATCAATTTGCCAATAATTTTTAACTAGTAATTACTATTTTCAATCAAAAAATTTCTAGAGGACAAGAATATTTTTAACAATTAATTGGCACAGTTAACTATTAAAAACTAACACATTATTTTTAAAACATTTGATTATACATATTAAAAAATTGTAAAAAACAATTATAGACAACATATAGTTAATTCTAATATAATTTTTAGTATTGATTTACAAGTAACTAAACGTAGGAAAGAGAAAAAATTAAATAAATTGATAAAATTATATAAAGGATAAAGTAGCAAATTTAGTCATGAATTATTTTTTCAAGAGTATTTGATAGTCCAAACTATCAAGTGATGCAAAATAAATAATAAATTTTTAAAAACAAAGTATCTAATACCTTGCTATTAACTTCACCTAACGGATGTTATGTGAGGTCCACAATGACACATGTGGCACTCCATCGGCAGCATGTGCAAATGTGTAAATTTAGGTATGAATTATTTTTTAAAGAGTACTGAGTAATTTTTACTATAAAAAATAGACTATCTAATACCTTGCCCTCAATTTTAACCAAACACTATTTATTTTTATACCCATGAGGCTCATAGTGAGTTAATCTCTCCAATTTTTTTTATTTTCATTCTCAATGTTAGCTTGAAAAGAAGAGGTTCAAAGAGTTTTTATCTAAAGATATTTATGAAGATAATGCTAATAAAATAAAAGTTTGATTTTACTTTACATGGGAGAAGCTAGATTCTAACTTAATTTAGCCATGAATATTTCTCCTACTTTATTGGTGTCGTCTTTGTGAATGCCTTTAAATAATAACTCTTCAAACCTCTTCTTTTCGAGTTAAAATTGATGTATTATAAGTCTCATAAATATAAAAATAAACAATATTTGACTAAAATTGATAAAAAAGTGTTGGATGGTTCATGTTTTATAATAAAAACTACCCAATGCTTCTTAAAAAATAATTCATAACTAAATTTGCTCATTTACACAAGCAAACGAATAGTGTTTGCAGAGTGTCATATGTATCATTGTCAGCCCCACATAAATGTTTGTTAAGTGAAATTAATAATGGGCTACTCAATGCTCCATTTTTTAAAATTGATGATTTATTTCACACTACCTAATAATTTAGACTATCAGGTGCTCCTAAAAAAAATAATATATGACCAAATTTGCACCTTTACCTTAAAATAAATATAATAAGGCTTGATTTGGTTTGATTCAAATTTAAGAAGACAAAAACAAAAACTAACCAAACCAATCAACTTAGCCAAAAAAAAAAAAACAAAATCAAATCTTATTTATAATCAGTTTTGATGACTTTATATCTGTTTGATTCAATTTAATTTGATATAATTAATTTGAATTGATTTTGAATACCTTTACTTGGTTGTGTTTTGAAATGTTTACATAGTTATAATATAGATTATGATTTTTTTTTAAAAAAATTGTATTGATTTACAAGAGTGAGAGGTTCCAATAGAAATACTGTCATGAGTATGAGAAAAACTTCCTCGCTAAACATGATATATAGAATTCAGACATCTTCAATGCTTCTGAATTACCCTAAGCTTGGCACTCCTACTTCGGCGGTTCAATTTTTCTTCCTCTCCTGAAGGTGTGATTGGCCTTTTCGTCAAAATTATCCCATTTGATCCATGTATTGTATGTTTTATCCATGTTTCTTTCTCTTCAACCCCACCTCTCATCTCTGTTAAATCATTATCGCAGTTCTCCCCTTCGTCTATATTACTTGCCTTCTCTTTAATCATATCAAGAAACGTTTGCTTCACAATTCTGTCCTCCAGACTGTGGAAGGATATGACTGCAAGCCTACCTCCAGGAGCGAGGCATTCAAAGCAAGAATTTAGCGAATCTTTAAGGGTGTTCAGTTCATCATTAACAGCAATTCTCAGAGCTTGAAATACCCGGGTTGCTGTCTTTATCCAACCTTGCCTTCCCCCTATTGCAATGAAATTGAACATTGTGTGAATTGAATACAGTTCAACACATCAGTGAATTGAATAAACTGCTTTCATCATCTCAAGAACAGGCAATAATAATACATACCTAGTAATTAAGCAATGAAACACAAGCATTTCCCCCAAAAAAAAAAAAAAAATCGATCACATGCTTGATGCTTCCACGAATGGAAGAATAGAATCGCAGAAGGACCTACCTTTCATTGGAGGAGAGACAAGCTTAATTAGATCTAGCAAATCACTAGTGGAATGCAATCCGCCATGTAATCGGGCTTCAACAATCTTATTCTGCAGAGTACGCCAATTGCTTTCTTCCCCATATTCCCGCAGGATACGGCCCACTTCAGCAGATGGCCAAGAATTTAATATGTCTTCAGCTTGAAGACTCGCCTGTCATAGGCCTGTTCATCAGTTCATATAGGAGAGAAAAATTAAGAATGACACCGCAGCAACCCAGCAATCGAAATATAATTCCCCAAGCAAACTTTGCAATCTCTGAACGAATGAACAATGCCGCAGCATTTTAGCGGGGCAAAAAGAAAACAAAAAACAAGAAGACCAGCAAAGAGGATTTTGACAGAGAAGAAGTGGATAACTGATAGATCCACAATTAAGGGCATATGCATTATGTTGGGCCATCTGAATTATTCTCGATTCTCAAATATTAAAAAAAAAAACACACACACACACACACACTACTCAATATCCTCTTAACTAGATACCTGGCACCTGAAGTTCAAATCAGTACAATAAATTTTTCATTTTAATCATATGATCACGCTTCTTGCTCTACTCCAATGCAATGCTTTTATGACTTGTAACTACTCCAAATCTAACAGTTATTCCATCTTTACACCTTGACCTTTGGCTGACATGCACTCCGATAGTAAAGCACAGTGCATCAGCTATCATCAGTTAAATTGATAGAGAAATATTTTAACCAAAATATGACAAGAATAGGCAAGAAACAAGCCTGTTTCACTTATACGTTAATAATAACAACTGCTAAGAAAAGAGACTACAGAGAAAAGCAACTGACAATGTCAAACAAGATGTCATTTCCGCATTTTTAATTCATCCATTTACATGTATAGATGTACTCTATAAAAAATAAGTTACCACTCGAACCAAGACTCAAGTGTAAAGATTTTACATTGAACTCCAAAATTGTTCATAATTATACCTGAGGGTCCATACGCATGTCAAGCGGTCCATTACTGAGCACACCGAATCCTCTCTGAGGATTGTCAACCTATAATGAAAAACAGAAACAAAAACAATATTAAAAAGAAAACGTATAAAACAACTCATAAAACCATGTCCTGATCAAAATACTCGGCTAACAATCTCGCTGCCATACTCTTAACAACAAAGTAATAGGAAGAGGAAGGTGATGTAGCAGCATAAGTAGAGACTTGTGGTGGATTTTGCTAATAGAGAGACTTGGCATTGCTACAACAACCGGCTAATCCAATATTTATCCATCTAAGAAGTCTAGTGAGGTAAGTATGGAAATTAACCTGCATGGATGACATTCCCAAGTCCATTAAAATGCCATCTACTCCAATGTCCAAGTGTTGCTCACCAATTTTACTTACTGCAGACTTGATATGACGAAAATTTTTTAAGAAGTTGTATACTTTCAGGTCAGAAGCAGGACTACTAGAGTATGAGTCAGAATGCAAGGCGGAATTAATTCGTGCTTGAGCCTTCTCATGTGCCACAGGGTCGACATCCATGCCAACAAAAAACTTCAACTCTGGATGAGCATTAATTATCTGTCGTTTTCAATAAGTACAGAAAATTAAGAAAGCTAATCCCTTCGAAGGGCAGAAACTCAAACTACGATAGCAACAAAATCATAATACCACATTCGATGAGAAGAAATTGTAAGCACCCAAATAGGGCGTGCATGACCGGTGTGGACATAATCAAATTTCCAATGACTAGCACATTAATTCACAGCAAACAAACATTGAACGGCGGGAAAGTGAGAATAGAATAAATGACTAACAGCGGAGGAATGGCCACCAGCCCCGAGCGTGCAATCGACGAAAGAGTGTAAAGGTCGCCAACAAGTAGATGAGAAGACGTCCAGTACTTCAGCAAGCATCACAGGAATATGAGAGGGGTTGTCTCCATATCGCAGAATCGCTTCCTTGTCAAATTCCTTGTCAGAACGCGTCCTCCTCTTTTCCTTCACTAAACCCGCCGCCGCTAATTTTTGCTTCTTCTTCTTCTTCTGGGAAGTAATAGCAGTAGTAATGGACCTCTGCGTGACGCTAGAGGGGACAATGAGAGAATGAGAACAATTGGTGGTAGGAGCAGTAATATCTCGGAGACGCAGTACGAGCTTAGCGGTGACTGTTATCTTCGAAGACGCTGCCATTTCTGTGACATTCTAGCTACTCAACTCTAACTTCAGTTCAAGCTGGAAATGGCAATTATGATATGGATCTCGACATGGATCCGGATTAATATTATGACCCATTGAGCTTGAAATTAAAGGCTCTAGCCCAAACGGCTATAATAAACTTACCGCAAAAAAAGATTAAAAACCTTAGAAAGCCCAATTCGCCCAAGGTTTTATTTTGGTCAAGCTTTCTATCTTTCAACATGATTTCCTCAAAGATGACAATCCCATAGATGTTGTGCTAAACTCTTGGCAATCTTATGTCACACAAGATGAATCTCTTATGGCTAATAATGATGATGAGTTTGGGGATATATGTTGGAGACCACCCTCAAAGGATTGGGTCAAATTCAATGCAGATGGTGCTATGTCATCTATTTCGGGTAAGGTAGGATGTGGTGGTGTCTTACAAGACAATGCACGAGTTTAGATTATAGGTTTCTCCTTTTCCCTCAATATTTGCTCCTCTTATGAGGCTGAAAAATGGGCTATGTTTAGAAGTCTTAAATTAGCCTGGGACATGGGCTTCAAGAAAATTGTTGTTGAGTCAGATTGCAAGAACTTGAAGGAGTTACTAAATGGAGAGTCTACGAATTTGCTTAACATAAGTCTTGTTCTGTTGGAAATTAAGCAAATCCTCCAATGTGACTAGTGCATGAAGATTAATTTTATTCTTTAAAAGATGAATATGGTTGCAAATTCACTAGCTTAGGAAAAAATTTTGGTTTTTCTCTGTTTGATTCGGCCCCCTTTTTCTTGAGGGATCTTGTTTTTAATGACTGTATGGGACTTCAGTCCCTTTGTGTTGTTGATGTTTAATTTCTTGTGACTTGGGTTTTACCCTCTTTGTTAAAAAAAAAAAAATTTACGCGAGTTAATGCTGCTTGAGTGCTTGTGTTGTTACTCCTAATTTGTTCATTGCCGTGAGAATACTATTCGAGATTTTATCGATACATGTTCTTGCTGTGATATGTCTATTGATAAAAATAAAATAATACGAAAAGGATGTTGATTATCATCATCTGAAGTTTGTTGGTTTTTTTTTTTGGTTATTTTAAAATAAAGAATTCTAGCGCAGACATTCTAGACTTTTATCTAAAGCTAATAAAAGAAATACAGATCTTCAACTATATCTTTCTTTTGTCATGAATCATCGCACTTTTTGTGGGGTTAATAATAACCCTGTTGATAAAAGCCCAAATTCAAATGACAAGTTTTGAAAAGCCTATTTCCTTATTATAAAGCATTCCCCATTCAAAATGCAAATTTTTTTAAAATATTATCCTTTTTTCAGTGTGTGGATTTAAATATGACCAAACTTATTTTTTTTCAATTTTCAAAAAAAAATAATTATTTAATCACTTTCTTTAAATTTTGGTGAGATAATTAAAAAATATCCCATAACAAAGATGAGAGTGTAATTAGGAGAGGGAGACAACCAAAGCAAGTTTTATGTCGTTTAACAAAAATACATTAAAATAAGAGGAACCTGGCTTTCTTTTTCTCTTCCCCGTAAAAGTCTATCCTTATAAAGAATCTCGGAATTGACAATATCATTTTTATTTCTGAACTTGTGGGAAATAATTTTATATTCGTTGACTAAAATTTAACATTCACAAATAAAAAACAGTTTAAAACACTTCTGCAAATAAAATCTGAATGCGAAGGAAAAAAAAAAAATTCGAAGCTAAATTCAATTTCTATTCCTACCCATCTGACGACAGCGATAAAATTTCACAACTATCTGTCCAGCGAAGACATTTAATAAAAAAAGATATAATAGTAGTCGTCAAAATTACTAAAAGTCAAGGGAATGAAAACGAAAACTAAAATGGCAGTATATGACTTTTCTAAGAAGTGCATTGATTGTCCAATACGTGGAGAATTAAATAAAGAGACGACTGAGATTCAAGACCCAAATAGGATGATAATGTAACGGTGAATGATTTAAATTTACTGTTCAATTATAACATAATATTTAAAAAATTTCAAAATATATTTCTTTTCCAAAATTTAAAATAACCCATGTGAGATTTGATATTTTGTGACCCTTATATAATAAAATATTTTAACACTTATTTGATTAAATTGACTGTTGTTATCATTACATAGTATAATGAATTTAGGCCAGATTGAATTCCCACAGTAGAACGAATTAGGGGTAAAACAGGGATTCACCTTCAGCAGATTAGAGATTAGACCTGCCGCGACTTTGTCGTTGCTATGGTGGGCAATTGCTTGCTGTCCACTGTCCACATCTCACTGCCTATTTTTCTTCTTTTTGACCAGCCAATCCTAACCCTCTTCTCTCTCTCTCTCTCTCGGAATCTTTCTTCACAATACCAACAATATACTACTTCCCTATATTCCCACTCTTCACGCCTCATTGTCATCACAGGACCCTCTCCCTCTTGCCTCCATCATTCGTTATATTATATCCTCTGGTCCACTCTCCCTTTTCGCCATGTTCCTCCCTCTTTTTCTGACTCGCTAATGTTGCTGAGATGCTTGTAGCTTGATGGGCTTGTAAGCTTTATTCAAGTTTTGATCGCTGAGCAATCAGAAGCCATGGATCATGGGACAGTTGAGCCCTTGCAGAAGCCTCGAGAGCAGAAAATGGAAGAGTGACAGATGATTACAGAGAAGACGGTGCAACTGGAAAGAGAAGTCGTGGTTCTCAACCCAGAGGAGCGGACTCTCTGCCCACCTTCATCGGGAAGCATAGATTGCAAGCTGCCATTTCCCAACTCAATAACGAAATCAATATAATTCAGGTTAACTCATCTCTCTCTGCCCTTTTTTGATTGATTTTGCTCTTCATTTTTAGCAAGTCTTTGTTAGCTGAAGAAGATTGGTTGTGTGATCTGATGGATGCAGGATGAGCTGGAGCAACTGAAAACAATGGGTGAATCGTCCAGCGTCTGCAAGGAGTAAGCGGGGGAGGGAGCGAGAGAGTTTTTTTTTTTTTTTAATTTTTTTTTGTTGTTGTTGCCATATCCAAGGCTTTTCTCTCTGGGTTTCATTATCTGAAGATTTAACGATCCATTGTTGATGTGCAGATTGATTTCGAGCGTTGAATCGATTTCCGATCCACTGCTTCCATGGTAAGCCGTGTATAATGTTGTTGAGATTCGCAGCTTTGTGTGGTGTGATTCGAGAGGTGTTAGATTGCGATGATTGCAACGAGTGTGAATATTTGCAGGATTAATGGCTCGGTGGATGGTAGTTGGGATCGGTGGTTCGGCGGCGCCCACCACTCGCGAAGTCATAAACGCTGGATTTAGATTTTTTTTTTTTTTGGGTGGGTTTAAACAGCAGTATAGTACTTCATCGCAAAATAAGGATATCCTGCGAGACTGGAAGATCAGATCATGTTTCCCAAATGAACAACAATGACCGATAAATGAATGAATTAAATTCCCTTCCCACATAAGGATTTCCTATGTTGTTCCCGTCGGGTTTATTATCCTTGGCGACTTAGAATCACACATCTGCATATCATGAAGCTCCTCGCATACATACATGCATGCAATATATATATATATATATTGGTCAGAGTTTTCAACTGCATATCACTAACTTGAAACTTTTGTACATTATCACACGATCACATCTAACATTGATATGTGTATATCACGGAGCAAAATTATATGATAACTAGTCATGTTTATTTGCGCATTTTGTAACCTAGAATTCACCCTGCCTTTTCATATGAATCATGGGTTTATTGTATTAATATTAATATCAATTTTATATCCAAAAATATTATTTAAAATATATCCAAATACTTCACATTTTCCTGCTTTCGAAATTTAATATTAATCCGAGCATATTAAATGAAACACCATTTGATAATAGATTTAACTCGAAATACAGGAGACAGCTTTGGATTTTCTTTTAATCTCGTAGCCCATTGTACTTAGTATTTTACCAATTACCATTATTATACATATATATATAGCAATATTAGAAGTCTGCTTAAATTTTACAGTCATGGTTGACCATTTTTTTTTTTTTTTCAGAAAACAAAATACTACATTTTCATCACATGCAGAGCCCGGTTCCTTCTATATCTTATAAATTGACCATCATATATTTGCCATTATATTCTCATCCTTGTTGGATGGAGATCTATATATATATATATATATATATTCTAAAGCAAAGAAAAAACAATTATAATTAACAAAGAACTACGATGCACTCTGCTCCAAATTTTCTCCATTTCACCTTTCATTGTTTTCTCGTGTTTTCCTTATTTCAGTAAAGCTTGAACCTTTAACTAATATTCACACTTTATTACTTTATTTTCTAGTTCCTTTCAGATGTTTTGACCCACCAATTTTCATTTTCACTCATTATCATTCGATATTAACTTCTACTACATCACAACCAGCAAGGAAGCAACCCAAAATTTGCCATTATCAAGGCCATCGAGGGCAACTAGCGTTAAGGCCAGCACGGTAGCCCAATTTAAGCCAGCGCACGTAGATTTACCTGTACGTATTGTCCTAAACTAATTCTTTCCTCAGCAAGTAGATTCCTCCTTAAATATATACACCAAGAAAAGCATGTTACAGAGATACATCAGCCACTGAAACAGAAAGATGGCTTCTCTTTTGTTTTTTGATCCATAAAAAGATGGCTTCTCAAACAACCTGGGATGAAACGTCTGCTGTCAGAAGTGTTCCGCGAAACCCTCCCTCACTCCGCTGCATTTCCATTTTATCATCACAAATCTCATCTGTAAAAGATTGTTATGACCCGATTTAGTATAAATAATAAATAAGCATTTTGAGGAAGCACAGTTCCATTTTACTTTCTATGTCAGTTGCAAAGATGACCAGGCATCAAATAGCTTACCAGCAATATCTCGGTTTTCATGGATCTCAGAGTCCCTCACTATAATCTGATCTCCAGCAAATATGTTTACATCAGCGAGTGTAGCACATTCATCCTCATTATCAATTGTCCTGTCACCTTTCTGTAATATCTGGTTTTCCTTTACAACCTGGGAGGACAATTGCTGGTAAGACTACTCAGGAATGCATGAAATAGCCGTTTGTGATAAAAATGTGCTTCATCATAGGATTTATGATCAATGCTGAAAGTAACTTAAACCGGAAAAACTTTCATACTTTAATGGTAGAAATCACCAATTGCATCAGGATTTATGATTAATGCTGAAGGTAACTTAAACCGGAAATTTTCATACTTTAATGGTAGAAATAACCAATGGCATCACACATAAAGTAATAACTATAGGTCAATACATAATGAAGCCATGTCAACATTACAGGGAATCTCGAGACCTATGAAGCTCTCTAAAACAAGTCAGCCAAATTATGCAACCATTTCAATTAAGAAAATTGGTAAGCGTAAGTTGTAAATTAAAAATAATGGAGAGTTCGTATAAATGATCCTTTAATCTAACACAAAAGTTGAGCTGCATCAGTATTCTAAAATGAATATATGAAGTTCAGATGGCAAGATACCAGTTTTGTATATTATATCATATGAGTATTTCTAAACCCCTTAGCCTTGTTACTAATCCATTTCCACCATGGGTAATTAAACTAAGTTTCACCACAACTAGACACAAATTAAAATGCCACATAATTGAAAACTGCATATCATCTCACTTTCTCTACTAAACTTACCCCAAAGGCCTCCCATATCATCATTTTTAGCTGGTACAACGATGTTGAAGCAGAAACTTTAAGACTTATCGAAGTACCATTTTTAGATTTCCGGGAGCGCTTGGAGACACGTCGATCTGCTTCAACAGAGCCCTTTGAAGCCTCTAATATTGATCTAGGAACTTCCTTTCCCCTTACAAGAATCACAGATATGTTCTCATTGCTATAGTTAAGTTTCTGCATTAGCTCACAGCTTTCTCTTTCTCCAATGCAACTTTCACAAATCTGCATATTGAAAGGTGGAGACAGTCCCGTGTGTAGTTTAGAATTACAAAAATAATATGCAAGGACCAGAAATATATTGCGTATAATGAAGAATATGGGAGGAAGGACAGCAATATTTTGTCAGCCAAGATAGATGCCCAGTGCGCAATGTAGCTTTCCAAAGATATGACTATTGATTGCATTCATGCCGGAACATGCACTGCCACACCAAAATTTTCCTTCAAAGATTATTGCACTATGAATATGCTGTTGAGAGCTGTACCGGAGGCCATAAATAAAAGTAGGAAAATCAAGGACATCACTTCTCAAGTGCAATTGAAAAACATAGGCTTGAATACGTTTTTGACTAAACACAAATTATAGAACATCAGGCTGGACCATCCCAAAAATAAGTATATTTGTACCTACCGGATTTTCACTTCCAAGGGGGAAAAAGAAAGAAAGAAAGACACAAGGTGCAAGTGAAGGTAGGTGAAATAAGGCAGAGTATTGGATTACCTCTGGAGAAGTCTTAATCACCAGCTGTCTTGTCCCGCTATCATTATGCACTTTATCATTCAACTGATCCTCACATGTTGGTGTCTCTGAGCTGAATCCAGTCAAAATATTCTCTGAATCACTGATATCCTCAATCGCTGCTGATATACCTTTTGTCTCAGTACCCCCCCATTCCTCACAAAAGCATTTCCAATCATTCTCAGATATCATAGTCAAACCACCTGCCTAAAATTCACAAAATAGATGGAAGTAAGACTGAGGTTATACCACTAACATGATTCAGAAAAATACACTTCAATTATAGCTATCACATTGCCATGCCTATCAGCTAGTAATTCAGGCCAACTCTGATAGGCTAGCCTGAACTGCCTGAAAAAATTTAGGGCTAGGCTTAGGAAAAAGATGATTTTTTTTATGTTCGGGCCTATTCAAGATAGTGCCCAGATACCCAAATAAAAAATATATACATTTATAAAATATAATAAATATTAATTAATTCTTTAAGTTTTTAAGTTATTTTATAGTAAAATACCATATATTTGAGTCCTATACATCATTTATGTATCCAAAAAATATATATTTATATTTTTATAAAATAAAATAATTAATTTTAAAGTACAAAATTTAATTAAAAATAATTTTAAAAATAAAATTTGGATATTCAGGCCTTTAAGGAAGTTGGGTATATTTAGGCCGAACTTGCCCGAATTCCCACCTCTAATTCATGATATTTGAAATGAATGGAGACAGACTCAGCTGAATATTGGTAACTTGCAATCTAATCAAATAAAAATTTAGTTTGTAATTTGCATTCCAAAATGACATGACATTGGCACTACTACTTGCATGTGCGTCCAAAAACAACTCACAGCTACAGGACAATGTTTGTTTTTACTCACAGAAGATTCTCTTTGGACTATAGCACCACGTCTGAAAACCAGTTCAGGGGGCTTTTCCACAAGGCGGGAGTGCTGATTATAAACAAAAACGAAACAGCGTGTCAAGATGAATTTGAAGGTATTTGTTAAGGATCAAACTAACAAATAAAAAGGTCATAAATGAGTAGAATCAACCAACATGTCAATCCAACAGTTAAAATTTGCCATTGAAACTAAAGTCCCAACGCATGTTGGGTTGGATTCCTCTTGTAAAGAAAATCAAGCTCATACCATGGAACAAGATGCAAAACGTGACAGAGAACCAAGGTGAAGGTGCAATTTACCTTTTCACACATAAGGGAATTGATTATCCCATCTAAAGTTTCAGGTTTGTCTGAATTCTTGACAGATGAACTCATGTAACTTCTCCATTTTGAAATCCATGAAGAAGGCACTAGGAAATATTTGCAATGCAACAAGAGTGGCATACTTTTAGCCAGTAATAGTTTTTCATGATTCTGACGCTGCACTTGCTTCACTAATCTGAATCATAAGCATACAAACTACTTTAAAAATTTGTCCAGATCAACTATATATTAATAACAATTTACTTACCTTAAAGAGTCCTCCAAGCATGCTACTTCAGATAATTCATTGCTGCATTCGGAACAGGGCATTGTGTCTGAAGGAAATGTTGGGCAACCCAAAGGATCATCAGGTTTTACAGAAAGAGCATCTTCATATATGAAGTGCCAAAAGCTCTCAGGAACAAGAACCCGCTTAGCACCAGCAGCTTGCTCAGGTAAAAGTTGCCCATGTGGGCAACTAACTGATGCTGTCGGTCCAGCATCAGCTTCAGATGGAGCATCAAGTACTTTTCTTTTCCACCACTGTTGCAGCCTACAAAATGCAAAACCATTGGCATCATTATGCACTAGAGAAGAGATTGAGAGAACAGATTTCAGCACCAATGTTTGAAAACCGTGTTGATATCACAATGAACATGCAAAACATTAGGAAGTAGACTCATAAAAATAGGTCATCGATTTTTTTAATAACCAAAATAGCCAAAACAGGTAGTATCTCCATAACAAGAAGGAAGTAAAAGACTTGTTCACATTCCAGTCCCATCCTGTCTGTGGGATGCAGAAAATGAATAAAAAAATTGCAATCATACCATGGTCTAGATATGTAATACTTTCCATCTGGACAGTTTCCATCAAGAATTTCCCGTGCAAGGTGTTTCATTGATTCTCTCCGGTCCCTATAGGTGTCAGCTGACACCACAGAGCGAGCTCCATCAATAAGACAATCCCAACAGCAATCACTATGGCCCAGTGTTGGCCCCCCACCATACTGACTTTTACAAGCACAAAAAGGAAATGTGTTATGGTTGTATAAATAGCAAAATGATAGCAGCAACAAAGGAACAGGAAGGGTGAGGAAATGCATGTATGGAGAAGAGAGCAAGTGAAATAGACATAAATCATAAATAATTATCAATTTCTAAAATGATCGGCAGAAACATGCACTTGTCAATATTATGAGTATGTATTCTGTAACTCATTCCTTTAAAGTGCACTGCATTTGCCTCCTCACATGGACACTTTAGAGCTGCTACCTCCAAGAGGTAATTAACTTCTCAAATAGTTTCTCAATTTGACCCACAAATGAAAGTTTCCTTGCTGACATCACCAGCAAAATATTAGGTAAACTTACTGCTTTATGAAGGAAGTCCAACCCTTCATCCACTTTAATACCCACTGATGGGGCACTAGATTTGCTTATATAGCCTCTGAAATATATACCCTCGATTCATCCAATTCTGAACATTATTACCAAACACAGCTTAAATGGATCAACAAGAATGGTCCCTTACGGATCCAAAATATCCTGTGGCAAGCTAGGCACTTTCCCATTTATTTCACAAGTAATTCCAATTATCCTTCATCATGGATATAATTATGATATAAAGGAAACAACATAAGACCACAAAAGGTAACATGTACAACAATAAGTAGAAGAGCTACAAAGTTGAATGAAGAAAAGAATGAAAATTCATAGCATGCGTATACATCCATATAATTCAAAAAAATGAATAAGATGTTGTAAAGTCATCTGATAAAGTGGAAAACCAACAAAAAAGACATCATCATTGACACATTAACAAGAAGAGCAGCTATCCAGGCACATGACTGATGATTTAACATAAAGTACCTTCAAAAACAGTCTATCCCATGCTTTATCAGACAATCGCTTCATTGAAGTAACCTTGGATACAGGAACTTTCCCATGCGAGCATTGAATGGATGTATTGTCAAGAGTACTGCAAATAAATAAATAAAGGTAAGTATACTATAAATCAAGCCAAGTGACTCTGCCTAAAATTTGACTTAAGAAGCCCCAATCTATGGGAAGTAGGAAAAAATTCAGCCATTATATTAGGAACAAAATGCACTGCAGTATTACTTAATGACCAATGATAAGATAAAAATGTTTGCACCAACCTTGGAATAATGTTGTCAGCCCACTGGCGAAGCCAGTCACTAGAAATCCAATAAAATGGTTGCTCAAGTGGTTGAACAGGAGCTTCAGCTAAAACAGATCGAACTTCTTGTCTCCTTTCAGTGATTCGATTCAGTTCCAACTCTTTCTTATGATTGTACTGCGCACACTCATCAACATATGAAGCATTAAGGTTCTGAATCTCATCAAAAAGATAAGATAAAAGAGGAAAACTATCTCGTGCAGCAACAGAATCAGCACTGCTGACCACATCCCCCCTTTTGACTACATTTTTGGTATGCTTAAGATTGTACATCAGCATGTATGCATCACTAGATGAATATGTCTCCACAAGAGAAGATTGTGGGTGAGGGGCATCCAGACCATTTCCATTACTGTCAGCTATCCTTGCTTCAGATGCATCAGAATGAACGGGATCAGTCCTTACAGATTTTGCTGTAGAATTTGAAGATCCATCACCAAATGGATGGCAGCCTAATTTAGTGACATGCTCATCATCAAATTCCCACCATTGCCCAGCATTCTCATCCTTGATGTGAGCCACATAATGGCCACTATTAACAGTAGTTCCCTTGTGAATCAGTACAGCTGACAAGTCATATATCAATTCAGACTGAGATGGCTCAGACAATCTAGGCTGCATGTCAAGCTTAGCTGGAAATGAAAATGTGGAAGTAATTTTCTTCCTCATTGTAGTCTGCCAACATAAAAAGATAAGTGAAGGACTCATTAGAAGAGAAGAAGAGTGATACAGAAAAGAAACTTTACACAATAGCATAAAACTAAGAAATTACAACAATTTTACCCCAAGAAAAAAAAAAACTGTCTCACTTAAACCAAACAATTAACTACTGCAACATAGTTTCTATCTTCAAAAAAACGCACATTTACAAGACCACTACCCTAAAAGAAGGAATTCCATAATTTTCCAAGTTAAAATGAGTCAAGAATACATATTAAAGCTATGAAGCACCGTAAAGATTTGCAAATTGCATCAGGCATCACCCAATAAAGACCATTCAAGGTTGCTTTACTCTCTCACTTGTGAAGCATTTAGAACAAAATAATTGGTTTATTTGGTGACAGATACTGTAGAGAGAGTTATTATTTGACATGAAGTTTGGGTCCAAAGGGCAAAAGTTATTAGAACTGAGCTAGTTTGTTGATCTCTAGTAAACAGGGCTTGACAGCAAAAGTGATTACATGGCACAACTCAGTTCTTGTAGTTACAACGGGGCAAAATCATCAGCAAAGTTTGATAGAAGACATTAACACTTTGCTGAAGTTCTTTAAAAAAATGTTTAAAGGGTAATTATTCTTTAGGCAGAATTTGGTACCATTCTTTATCTAATATATATTATTTCCTTCCACAAATAAAAAAAAAAGGCAATGTAGTAAACTTGCTTCTTAATTGTATAATACTCAATAATCATCACAAAGATAAAATATTACAAAACCAACCACAATACCTCTGGAAGGAACACACAACGTTTAAGTTGAAAATTAAGTACATCAGGTAATGTGCGCAGCTTGATGCTACGAGTAGCATCAACTCTTGTTTTACATGATGCACAAAAATATTGATTATCTCCACAAAGCTCCTCCACAGCAAGATAATCATTCAGGCTCTCATCTAAACTTTTAAATCCCTTAACATTTAACTCCAGCTCATAGAAGTCTTCCATTTTAGAAGATGCTTCAGAGTCCCTTCCACATTGTGAGCAGCTACATAAAAAGTGTTCAAATCGAGAAATTATGAAATAGTCGTGAACACAGCTACTACAGCTAACAGATTCATCTGAAATTGATGCAGCATACATAAGAAATTTATTTGAGATCATCTGAACATAAAATTAACAGAGTTACTTCAACTAAATTATTAAAAAAGAATTTGGAAAATCAAGGACCATTAACTATATTACTAACAAACAGTGCTTAGAGAAACATGACAAAAAAGCAAACTCAGATATGCATGACATGAGAGATCCAACATTGAAAGAAAGCAACTTCACTCTGCTAGCACCATAGGAGCATTGGCATTGTTCTCAAGATGAAGATTTAACGAGTTTAGTTGGTGAATGGGGTCAGAATCAATAATTGAATAACCTTATTGACAAATCCAGAGTCTATCATAGGCCATCTAAATGGTACTTACAAAAGATTAAAGCATAAAACAAAATTATTCTTTATTGGTAAACAAGTAGCTCAAAATCAATTTCTTACGTTGTCACATGAGACACACTTCCCCGGAAAAGATCTTGAACCACAGTTCTTGCTTTAGGAACTTTAGAATGGGTTAGACAATGCTCGAGCAAAGACAAAAGCAATGTCAGAAACTCATGGCTATCCTGCTGAACTCCATTATCTAACTCCAGTGTTTTCACAAATGGAAAGGAATCCACAAAAGCCCTTTTACTAATGTGCAACTGCACAAAAAGCCGCACCAGTTGATTTAACACTGGCTGCTGCTGCAAAAGATCTGGTTCCACAGAAAATATGCCTTCCCGGAAACATTTATTCATGTATAAGCACTGCAGTATGCTATTGGCATAGCATGTGGCCCCAAGATTGGTCAGACCAGCAGGTGAATTAGCAGATGCCCGAAGGTCCTTGGTTGGGTCAGGACCAAGATTGTCTACAATACTTGACATCTTCTGCCATAAGCCAGATTTTCGGGCTCCATTGTGAGGTGGAACCAATGCACAAAAGCAGTTAGGGTTGTCTCTGGTATTGACACGGCAGCTCGAACATATCGGCTTCCAAATCATATAAAGTTGATTTATATCATCATCAGTTACCGCACCTTTTTCATGAATTTTCCTATAAAAGTAGGAGGAAGAACCAAAAATGATGAACATGCAAAAGGAGGAACAGCGTATTTTAATTAATTCCACAAATTATAAAAGATAAATCATTTAGTACCTCCATATTTCAGAAGTGCTAGCACCATCATCCACTTGTCTTTGTCTTTTATTTTTACTTCGTGTAGTTGGCCTACTCATACTAGAATACAAAGAAATCCCGTTTCAAAACTAGAGATAGCTAAACTTTTGGGAAGGGATAATGAATAACCACATACGATTTTCATCATATCGATTTAAAATTTAAAATTATGCATAAAGACGAAATCACATGAACATCACAGACGAACTTATCAAAGACATATCTATTTTTATTTCAGGCAATGGTGATGATACCACCAGGACAAATGGAAAGATGTGTATCGCCCGAAATCGTATTCCAGGACACTCGAGAATCAACCTCAGTTCCAAGAATCAACCTCAGTTCTACATTTGCAAATTGCATTGAGAATACGGACGCGCACATAAGGAAGAAAAGCAAGGATAATATTCTCAGTCAATAAACTATAAACAAAGAAGCCATAATTTACACATCATCTCCGCACAAAAAATAAATAAATATATAAATAAAGAAGTAGTGGCTATCATCCGACTAAACAAACACATTACATTAGCAACTTGTTCACTGGTGCACAGCAGAACAGGCACTTATAGAGAGAGGGAGAAAAACTCGTATCAAAATAACTTTGTTCAGAGATGAAGAGAACCCTAGAAATTCCTAACAGCCAAAATATTAAGCAAATCAACCCGAAAAAGAAGCCAGTGATGTAGAACACATGTATCATCCAGCAGAAAATTTATAGGGCAAATATATTCAAGAAAATCATGAAAAAGCATAAAAAGGAGGGATATTCTTGCTATAGTGTTACCTGGTAGAAAGAAAAGCGGGTCTCAGGCTCTCAGCTGTCGGATAAATTATTGCTTGGATTCTGAGGAAAATCAACATCTAATATCAAATGACATTCTTAAGTTTCACCCCCAATTACTGTGATTCAGTGTTGATCAATAATATACCATTACCTTGTTTTTTTATCGGATGAAGAAGCCAAAGGACAAAAGTCCCAGAAAACAAATGGAAAGAGAGAGGGAGGGAGAGGACCAGCGTCAGGAAGAGAGGGAGGGACGGAGAGAGAGACGAGAAGGACGAGAACTTTTGTTTGGGATGTGATAAAGTACGACGGGGCCAATGAAGGGTCAAGTCGGAGTCAGAGCGCTCTGGCTTCAAACAAGAAAGAAATGTACAGTTCTTGTGCCCCTCTGATTTAGATTTAGATTAGATTTCATCAGATGGAATAAGAGTTTACACCAACCTAATTAACGGATTTTTTTTTTCATACTTTTCTATATTTATTTATATTATTTAATATTTAATCATTTAACTCACATTTGGCACGCACACTCAAAAAATTGAGATTTTATTTTTAATATTATTAATTATCATATAAATAATAACTTTTTAAACAAATTATTCGATTAATTTCTCTCCGACAAAATATACAATCTATATATATATATTAATTAATAATCAATAATTAATAAGTTTAAATTGATTACAATTTTTCAATGCATGCCAAATTAAAAACAATCAAATGATATTTTCTTGCAATTTAATTGTTTGTTTTTTGTTTTTGTCTCTTGACACTGCTCATAAATTAACATTCAGGATTGTTCAGATAATATCAAGTACCTGGATTTTGTCTACTTTAGATTAGTTAAGGACAATTTACAGTGTTCAAATTTGGAGAGAATTCAAAGAATTCCAATAAATAATGTGAACCGAATCTGAAATCTGAACTTATTCATATTCATATTAATACCAAATCTCCAGATTTCTTCGCTTAATTACACAGCATTAACAAGTCTTACCTTTACTTTGATAGGTTATGGATTTGGAGACATCAACACTGCGTTTGGATAAATTTGCTCCACCTCACAAACCACCACACCACGAATCTTGACTGAGGAAATGGGTAGTGGTTTAGGAGCCCATTTGAAAGAATTTATTAAATATTTTTCTCATATTTGTGTATTGGTGTTGTCGTCATCCTTCTATTTATCATCATTTTTTTTAAATAAAAAAACTTAGGCAATGAGATTACCCAACAAAATTAAACCCAAAAAAAATGCAGGGCCAGGAGGTCCTGGACCGGAGAAATTATTGGAACCCCAAGAGGGCATACGACTACTTTTATAATACATCAACACAACATCTTGCACAGAAACAAAGAATTTCTGTAAGAATTTTGATCTCAATTGCTTCATATTCGTGAAAAAAAATTATGGGTTAAGATTCGATATGCAGCACGCGTTTAAACTCATCAAATCAAACAAAAGAATATAAACTTTGTTAACCGAAATTCTTTTCGTACAATCCAAATTTTAGCTCGGAAGATACCAGAGAACAGCTGCACAACTATTTAACAAAATGTCAAAATTGCAAGTTACAAGCAACACATACAATCTACGTATAATTGATGACCAAAAATATAAAAATTAAAAGTAATATCTCAGCACTGTCCCGTTAAAGAACACCACACAGGTCAATCCACATAAGGCCATCATTCAGCTAGCTTTCTCCCCCAAATCTGGCCTTTCAGATATTTCCTCAATCTCGGCACAAGAATTAACGGGACTATTCTTGGTGACCAAGCTGTCACCAGCAGAATTCAAGGTGTTATTAACTGCCTCAACAACGTCTGCTTTTCGAAACTCCATTTTTGGGGAATTTAAAGCAGAGACACCCTCATCTGAATTCCTAGGCTTGTTCAAGGCTTGACAGTGCGGGCAATAGTAAGTGATGAAAGGGAAATCCTCCTTCCGAGCAAGACCTGCACATATGTAAGCAGATGAGACCACCATCTTCTTGGCATTGCATTCGTAATAAACATTTATAACCACAAAGAAATCGCACAGGCATTAATCTCTGATTCCTGTTTCCTGGCAAAAGTCACTAGAGGATAGAGCCTAAAAATGTCGAATCCACTCCACTCACCATTATGCATATGGCAGTTGCCACATATAAGTGCATATGACTGCGTTGGATCCTCACCCACAAGCAATGCTGCAATTCGAGCAATCCATCCTCCATCATTCGTGGATGAACTCTGAGGCTGGTGGTGTTCAACAACTACAAGCTGGTTATGCTCAGAAGTTGGAGCTTCTTCAGTTTCCCCAGTACCAGCTAATTGTTGATCAGGATGCTTTGGTGTAGTTGTCCCTGGAGTAGTATATCTAGACTGCATTTGTTTTCGATTTCGAAGTCCACTAGCTTGTACAAGATCAACATCATTGCTCATCCCTGTTGAAGCACTAAGGCTTGATTCATCCCCAACGTAAACTTTCAAGCCTGAATCTGCACCCAACTTAGATGCCAAAACAGTTGCTGCGGCTGCTTTTGCTGCTGGGTCTGGATCATATCTCTGCATATATCACAAGCTATGTATATCACAAAATAATACCAAAGCAATTAAAATTAGTAGCACCGAGAGCAATGCACCTTAAGGTAAAGCCCTCAGCCTACCTCATTATAAAATAAGGCCAATTTTACTTTGAGAATTGATATGGTACAATTTCTTTAATTTTTCTTGCCCAAAGCAATAATCCTTCGCATTAAATCTCTACAAGTCTATTATGGATTAAAAATACCAGGACAGACTAATATGATCATGCTTTCACACACATACATATATTTCACAAAGTCTGCATAATCATATCATGTATCACAAAATCGGGTAATTGACTCTTTCCACAGGGTCATGAATAAATTTCATTCAAAGTTAAGATTAAAAACTGTCGTTGAAGTCTAGTGTTAGTCTGAATAACTCAATAAGCAGAGTCTTGCCACTTCAAATTTTTGGCTCCTAAAGCATTAAATAGAAGTGATAACAACAACAGCAATAGCAACAACCAAAAAAAAAAAAAAAAAAGGCTTCAAACTATCACCTGAATGAGCTGTTGAGTAGTGTAATAATTTGTCTTCTCTTTAAGTTCATCAATTTTTGCTTGCCTTTCAGCTCGAAGCCTTTCAAGAATTTTCTGGTCCCTGCGATCCCCTACAAAATCACAATCACAAATAACAATAATAATAAGGAAACATTTGAAATACTAAATTTAAACACAAGAACCCCGTCTAAAATTGCACCATTAAAATGGACTTATATGTTAGAATAATCACATTTGTGAAGCATAGCATTTGCTAAACTGAAGAACGAGAGTACCAAATTTCTCCATCCAAATTGTTAATATCAATGCTTTCCCTTCTAGCTTTTTCTCTACAAAGAAGTTTCATCAAGGGTATCTGTGCAGACAGCAATAACTTTAAAATTCCTTATGAATGTCAAGAGCTCCTCTTAACATCTATTTGAACCAATGATCAGGCTTGTTTTGCATCACAAAAGTCTAAAAGTAAATCAGAATTTGCTAGACTACATCAAGGGTATCAATTTGACCGATAGAGAAATTTGCTCATAAAAAGGTGTACATCTCTTTCACTAACAAAATATATAGCGACAGAAAAATTCACTACTTGAAACTTTTCCATCCTACTTAAGACCAATCAAGAAAGATGGCAGAAACTCTACAAAGAATTTTGAAGTATTTCTGATTGTAAAGAGTCATATCTAGAAGCTTAATTTAAAAAAAAAAAAACACATTTCTTGTGGAAAGTAAAAGTTTTGCGTTAATTGTGAATTTCTAGACACTTACACATCCTTGCGAAGCTGACAACTGCTGAATAAGCAGCAGATGATAAGGCGGGCAAAAGAAACATTGGCAAGACCCGGAATGCCCTCATCTTCCAATTCATATCCACTGATCTTGTCGTCATAATAGCATAACCTACAGCAATGACCTGAAAGTTGAAAATTGAAACTGTTTTAAGCACAAGCATGAGCCAGTGTGGCTTTATTTAGGCAGAAGCTTAGACCAATCCTTCTAAAATTCGCAATTGCAAATGAAGGACAAAAACTTCTTACAAAACCTGAAGTACAAGTGGATTTTGCTACGAAATGAAGATAGTCAAATAAATACACATCAAAATTCAATAGAAAATAAAACACACCTCTAATATAACCGAAAACACAATAAGATGCCGAGTTTTTTGCCTCCAAGATTGAGATCTCCTGTTCATTCTACTCAAAACAGCAGCTTCTTCTTTAGAAATGTATTGCAGTCTCTTTTCAAAATCATCTCCATGTAATCTAAATATTCCATTCCAAATTCGGGAAATAAATCCCTGGCGCTTCTTTCTATTCGCAGTGGCAGTAGGACTTGTCTGTTTGCTTTCACTTTCTCCAACGCCTTTGTCATCAGCCATTGCTTTTATTTCCTAAAACCCGTGTAAGTCATAATAGATTAGCAATTACACTAACATGAAGAGTATAAAACATTCTGGTGTGGTCTCTTCATTTCGAGCATTTGGTATTAACAGAATGTAAACCTGACTGCTGCAAGTGAAGACATTTAATTCTGAATGAGGAAAAAGATAGACATTATAAATAAGTTAAACTTCGCTACATTAACCTATCAACACCATTTTTATTTTATTTTTTTGTTACAAGTTCCACCCCTTCATCCTACTGCTCTGAAAGAGAAAAATATGACTTTCAAGAAAGCAGCGTAATTAAAGCAATCCCCGCCCCCTCCAAACGACATGGATAGGTTGAGAAAGCATGCTCAAACGTATATATGTTAATTAAAAAAAATAATTATAAACTGTAAACTAACCTTATATATGTTAATTAAAACTCACTTTCTCGATTACACGATTAACAGATTTAAGAAAAATCCCGGACCCAAAGCAATAGCACATATGGATCAAAGAAAAAATTGCGAAAGAAGGTGATGGAGAATAAGAAGGGAAGTATCGGATCGAAAAGGAAAACCTGAGAAAGAATGAAATGAAGAACCCTCGAGGAAGAAAGTCGATCCGAGACGGTTGGATCGATCTCTTCCTTCAGATCGATGCCAGGCAGAGAGATGGGAAGGTAAAGAAGTTGGGGAAGGTAAACGAAACGTAGGTTGATGAGCGAATGTATGAAAATTGTATGGGAGGAGTTCGGAGCAAAAGGCTTCACAATTGGGGCTTCCCTTTTCAGGGTGTGCTCCTCACACGTGAAGCCGTAAACCCACAAACACGCCCTTTGAACTACACGCACTCCGAAAGCCGAAAGTACGCCATGAAATGGATATATCCAATTGCTTCAATCCAAGGCTAATCCAGCACCGTCCATTTGCCCCGCGCCAATTCACTGTCATGTAGGAACAGAGACCCTTTGTGGTAATTGATGTAACCCCATGAGTGCTTTGCTTGTAATTGATCTAATACCATATCAATCATAATAAAATGGTCACATCTTAATTTAAAAATAATCAAGATAAAATTTTATAAGATAAAATAAGAAAAGGGTTCAGGATGAAATATGAGATTATCATTGAGAAGTCTCATCCAGTCCTGTCCAATCTCAAATGTTATATATATTATTTTAAAAATATACATTAAATATATTAATAATATTAATATAATTTATACTAACATTAATTATATCAATTATAATTTTAATACTTACAATTCTTATATAAAATTAAAATTTTTTATATTGATAATTTTAATGACATAGAGTAAACATGAAATATCTTTTTTATAATATATTAATTATATTAATATAATTTATTCTTATATCTATTTATTTACTAACGTTTATTTATATCGCATTTCTTATTTTATTTTTAAAAAAATAATTAACTTAACACATCTCAATTATAGTAGAAGAACAATGATTTAATGTTATGCTTGTCTTGCATGTTGTTGTTGCTCTTAGAGCTGAAAATTCGGGCAAGCCAAGTCTATTCGAGCTCGGCCCAAATAAACCCGACTCGAATAGACTCAAATCCAAATAGGCTGACTCCTTGAAAAGCCTAAATATCTAAGCATGGCCTGAATTTCTTCAGGCTTTGAGCGACCCAAATACTCAAAGTTTATTTTTAAAATCATTTATAATTAAATTTTTAATTTAAAATTAATTATTTTATTTTCTAAAAAATATAAAATATATATTTTTAATACTTAAACAATATATAGGACTCAAATATATGTGGTATTTTAGCATAAATTGACCTAAAATTTAAATAATTAATTAATATTTATTATATATTATATATTTTTTAAAAAAAAATTATTCGAGTATTCGGGCCTAGCCCAAACCCGATTGAGGTTGGCCTAACGGCTAACCCAAATATAAAAAAACTATATTTTTTCTAAGCCCAACTCTAAAATTTATCGAGTGGGTTCAGATTTAGCCCAAATTATTTGCTCTAGTTATTCTTATAGCTTAGATATCACTTATAACTGCTATCATAATGTGTAGTTGTGATTAATGTAATTCAATGATTGTCTTTAAATTTTTGTTATTTATATACTTGTGTTGTTTTGATTTTAAACTTAATAAATTATATGATTTAAAATTTTAATGAATGTTATTATCTAAATCTCTCTTTAACATGGTCCGATTTATCGAGATGGCGAGATGTCCCAATCTCATCTCAGTCCCATCTCAATTCCTAATGAAACAGAATACGGGATAACAATTTAGTCCAAATCTTTTTTTTGAGACAGGACACAGGACAGGGGTGTCCTAATCCCGTCCCGTGAACACCCTAGTAATCCGGTTGCTTTTGCATTTACAAATTACTTTCGTATAAATTAAAACAATAATTTATTTAAAATTAGTTAACAAATTGAATATATGAATTTTACAAAATGACTTATAATTTGTAAATAGTAAAGTAAAAAAATTATAGAATGTAATATAAATTTGTAAATTATATATGCGCGCGCGCACACATATATATTAATAAGATCCAAGGACGGACCTAGAAATCAATATATGGGGAGTCAAAATTAATTTTTACATGTGTTATAAATAAAAATATATACTTTTTACACAGTAAGCTTTTATCATGGGGCCAGCAGCCTTGCTTACCCCACCCCCCCAAAAACAAAAAAAAAAAAAAAACAATGTTTCTGTCCCTGATATTAAGATCTTGTACTTTTTTGCGTCTGTAAACACATTCCTCATGTTGATATTTTTCTTATTTTAATTGTTCTTAAACTCATAACTTTTCTTATTTATATCTTCATTCTTGCTGTTGAATTTATTTATTTTTTCATATTTTACTTTCATTGCAACAAAAACGTTCATCGAACGGCAATCCTTTCCCCCAATTTCATCATTGCCAGCTTTTGTGACTTTTACTCGCTCAATTGATAACATCGAAACATGGTTGTCTATAGTTGTTGATTTTAGTAGATATGATGAGAAAAGCCAAGGCAATTCAATCCAAAACAGCCCCGTCTCATCAGTCACAGAGAAAAGAAACGTAGGAGATTATTATTGCTTGAAAGGAAACATATTAACATGCAGCAGGAGGATAATAGTTGACATGTTTAAGTGATCGAACTTCCCAAAACAAGACTGAATGGACTCTCAAAAATCAAAATATTACTTCTGTTCAACTTCAATACATCTAAGATACATGGTTTCCAACACAACAAAGTAACGTAAAATAGGATTACCATTAGACCAGAATTTAACTATCTTTTTATCCTATTTGTCTCCGGTTAATAAATGATAGAGCACAATGGCGTCTTGCAATCCATGTAGCCGACCCCACCTAGTGGGACTTGTTGTTGTTGTTGTTGTCTCCGGTTACTTCTAACTTCTCTTCCTCTATGATTAGGTCTTGTTGCACCGAGGGGTTTGTTCTCCTTATGGTGTCTTCCTGCAGTCCCAAACTTGAGGGGTACAATTTGCCTAATATATAAATTCCCAGGAAAATGCCTCTTACCCCTTGGAACAGTTCTTAACTCTGGCAACCAGTACGCAACATATTCACCTTCTGGATCATACGTCATTGCCTGAAAATGAACAGATATCGCATCACTCTCAAATTTAAAGTTCCAACTACTTAATGGCTGTCATAGTTATGAATCATATTAATTATATACGATGTGACTCTGTACCAGACCTTTCACATTTATAGATCACGAGCTCGTTTCTGTATGACTCAAGTGGCACGCGCAAAGGAATGAAAAACATCATATTTTGTGCAACTCCTCATAGGAACTTACTTGTTTAGGTATGCTGAAATAACGGTCTTCTCTGGGATCATTCCCAACTCCTGAACAGGAAAGTTTAGAATGAGCAAAAGATTATCTTTTTCACATGCCATAAAACTAAGAAAAAAGAATACTGCATCTGGCAATGCATATCACGAAAACTGTGAAAGCATCTGAATCATGCACTAACTGATCAGCATAGTTGTACGAATCTAATTAATTACCTGATCCATAAGTCCAGTTTCCATAATTGGAACATGGATCATAATCCAAAAGGCATGTCTCAAACCATTCTGCTCCCATGCGCCAATCTATGCCCATATCACGAACAAGAAATGAACATACAATCTGTCAAACAGGTAATGAAATTCATATTTCAGGAATAAGGCCACGTGCAAGTTGTCATGAAGATATAACAATATAATATATATATAAATTAAATGAACAAAGAGAACAACAGTCTTCAGAATATATCTAGAAATTCTTAACGATTTTCAGATTGTTAAACATCATGGTTAGACTTATTCTTTACCTGTCGTCCTCGGTTTGACATGAATCCAGTGGTCGATAATTCTTTCATGTTAGCATCTATGAGAGGATACCTAGGAATTCAGTTAAAAATATATCAGCACCGGGAGGAGACCGTAAGGTCTTCACTATAGTACATGAAAGGAAGAAAAATAGTTGAAAATAAACAGTTAAAATATATCAGTTAAAAATAGTTGAATACTTGTGTCAACAGAGAAGTAAAAGGAAGAAAATAAACTTCGGAGGTATTAAGAGTTAAAAACAAAGTGAAGAAAATTTTTGGACACCTTAGTTTTTTTCTTTTCACCTCTTTAATTTTTTGAAATCTAATAATCATGCAATAACAGTAAAAGTTGAACCAATTGGATTAGACCATATAAATGTTTTCCCTTTCCACATTGCTTTCTTTGAAGTTAGGAAAGGTACTTCGTTCTCATATTCTCTCTCTTCAATTCATTATATTTAGAAGAATATGAGGATTTTATAATGCCTCCTCTAGTATCCACCAATTCTAGATAATAAGTTTGGAAAGGACAAAGGTTAGCTAGGTAAAGTAGGATAAATGCACAGTATTGAAAACTTAAATTGTACCCCGTACGACCTTCTCTCCAAGACTCAAACAAATTCTTGTCTTGGCTCCATTTGTGCAGCACTTTCCTCGGGCCTCCTAGAACATATGTGACAAATTTTACATTATAAAGAGAAATGTCTCCAGAAATACATTATCCCAGTCAATTCTATTTCACCTTAGGGAGATGAGCAAAATTAGTGATTAATCAGCAGAAATTTTACACCATAACCTCAATCTTACCTACATGAAAAAGGGAATTCCCATATTTAATTGATAGGAACCTGAAGTAATCCCTCCATATCAGTTCAAACAAAACCCTGAAGAGAAAAGGAGTTACGCAGGAAAAGAAAACAAAATGAGAGGAGTTAACATGTCACAAAACTAGCTTTTTCCCCCTTTTACTTTCCCGATTAATTCACAAGCCATTGTTACTATTCCTTTTATCAAACACATGCCAACTGCACATGCCAAGAATGTTTTATTACTGAATAAAAAGAAAAAAAATATCTTCTTTACATTAGTTTGATGCAGTTCAGGAAACTCTCTAATACAATTTGACAGAATGGTTAATATTTTATGAATAATTAAGAAACTGGTAATAAGTTAATGCTGATGAGTGATGGGAAAGATATAGAGAAATACCAATAAGTAGAGCTATTTGCTTGCCTTTCTTCTTCATATCTCTTCACCTATAATGAATGGTGTGTTATGAATTTTGTCAAGGCAATTATATTTTTCAAATACAATGAAACGCAAAAGGAAAGATGATTGACAATTTCAACCTCTTCATGTATGAAACGAGGAGACAAGCTCCCGGAGGCAAGCCATGGAGAAAATTTAGTTGAGTAATCAGGCCCTAGCATCCCATTTCTGGTCTCTTTATATCCCCTTAATAAATCCTGAACAAGAGTAATGTTGAGAATGAAATACATGACAGTTCAAATGATGTCAAAGTTTCCAACTTGCCACTTGCCCTCCATTTCCAGGATTTAGTAGTCTAATAGAAGTGGAGCCGACGTCAAGGTGATGAAAATATTATTAACTTAACCATTTTTCTGATTTTAGTGTCATATGAAAATAAACAGACATCTTTGTATTTTGTGCAAATTCCAATTGCTGAAATTGACCAATAAAATAGATAGACATTCATGTATGGACTCATGCAACAGAATCTACATCTGCAATAACTCAAACACAAATATTTTGTTCAAAAAGACAATGCATTGGTTTTACTTTGTTTTTTAAACCAACCCATGATTCATACAAAAAGCAAATATAACAATAGGAACATAAAATAAATTAGATTTCCATTGCCAACATGAAATATCTTCTAACCTTCTTCCAGAAGTATTCATAGACTCTGCTCAGTGCCGCAGTTTCACCCCCAACAAACTTCATTCCCTTGCTTACCTTATCAAGAGAAGAAATATAGAGAACACATCAAATTCATTCTCTTTTCAATCTTGAGTTCGAAAGATTTAATTTCCTTGAAAGTCACAATGCCTCAAGGATTTATGCAAGTACTTTTGCAAAACCTACATTTGGCGAGCAAAATCCCAGCTGCTCCAATGAAGGTAGACTTCCCCAGTCCCCAACTTGAGGAGGTGGCCCAAGAGATTTCGGAAGTTTTATGCAGGCACGTACTGTGCATTTGGCTTCAACAGTCTGCAAATTCAGCATGCAGAAGTAGTAAAGCTAATTTTGATTAGGTACATATAACACGCATGTGTCAGCCGAACAACTAATGTACCTTACGAAATTGAGTATACACATCCGGTAAACTAGTGGCATCAAAAGGGAGGTCATCAATATTATACAAGGTGCTGCCCCAAATAAATTTTAGCTTGGGGGTGATTGAAGTTTTAGCTACTGTGGATTTCTCGGAATATGGTGGTACTGGTATCACAACTTGTTGCAGACCCTTGTCGACCAATCTTTCAACATTCAGCTCCTCGCTGCAAGTTTCTTTCTGGGCATACACCTGACTTCATCATATTCAACAGCAAGCCTCATTGCTTCAATAGCCAGAAACAACTGATAGCATGAAAAATGATTGATTTATCCAACTTATAAAGTAGGCATTAAATTCAATCACTCAACTGTATGAGCTCCAAAAGCTTTTGCAAGATCTGGAAGAATATCCTCAGGTTTGCCATGTTGAATGAACAAATTAAGTCCCCGTTTCATCAAATTCTTCCTCAGGTCAGCTAGGCATTCAATGAGAAATTGCGCTCGCAATGCTGCCATATAAACAATAATTAAGACATATAACTCGAAGGAGATTGTATCGTCTCATCATCCTAGAGGAACTATGTGAATCAGGCACAAAAATCTTGGCCTTGGGATGATGTTCAAGCTCATCAAATAAATGTTAAATACTTGTGCAATCCATAAGACCGCAAATTTAGCAAGAAGCTCATTAAAAAAAACTACATATGTACCCCCAGATTTAGGAAATCCAAAATAGTAGGTGGTCCCAAATAGTCGAGGATCAATACAATAGACAGGCAACACAGACTCAGATGCAAGCCAGGCGTTGTACAGAGCCTCATTGTCCAATATTCTAAGATCATTCCTAAACCAAACAATGGCTGTCCCTCTGCAGCTCCTCTCGGTGTTCCAGGAGTACCTATGAAATGTCTGGTCGGCAATACGGTCCATGTCGCTGGCGTCTTGCTCTGGAACCTGGTAGGTTGGTAAAGAGGTTGTGCTTGATGCGCATGCAGATTTACTGCAGAAATTCATGGTTGGGAAGCGATTCGAGGGCAGAATTCTTGTTGCGGTTGGGAATATGGAAGCGCACTTGTATGGATCAATGGAACTTCTCACTTTGAGAGCTACAAGGGGAAGTGTCAAGCAGAGAACGGCCATGTAGGAACGCATAATTTGGGTTCGTTCTGCTTTAGCAGAGATTGGCCGGGAGGGAGGGAGAGACACGTCAATGCATTGGATAGATGACACGTGGAGAGGAGGTTAGTTGTGACGTGGCTAATTGCTAGCCAGTGGCGGGAAAATTAAAGGTGTATTTCGAGTCGTTGACCTGTACTTTTCAAAAGCAAGTCATTACTCATCACTCATCATTATTATCTGTTATGTTTTTTGGACCAACAACAACAGGGATCCGAAAACTTTTCGGACAGCCCAATCCATGTTGTCTAGTGTCTCGTGGAGAGTAGCCCCATTTTCAGATGACTCGGATGAAACAAGCTAAAGATCCTCTGCATCTTCGCGTCGTCTTCTGACCTTTTGGTCTTTTGATTAAAGATATTCACTATCTAAATTAAAATTAAAAGGTTCAAAGAGAAGTTAATATTTAAAAAAATTAATACTCGGTGAGACATCCATATTTTAATAATCTATAGTGCTTCAATTGCATAGTATATTAATATGGAAAGTCAATCCGCTAAGTTAAACTAATAAACTATTAGATTAGTTTTTTAATGGGTTTAATAAAATATTTTGTTTATAACTAATTTGATCACAATTTAACTAAGATTTTAGTCAATAACCCTTGAACTAGTGTCTTGATAAATTTAATAACCGATTTAATTTGTAGGACCTTAAACCGTGTGCAATCAAAAATTAAATGGTTCAAATTTGATATTGTTAATACAGGTAAATTAGGGCATTGCAAAGGTAATTGGGGATTTAGGAAAATTAATGATAAAAAGTGCTTCAAATATTGAGTCATGACCTTATAAAAAGGGTCAATAAAGATATGAAGAATATCTTTTGAAATCATGGTATGTAAACTCAAATTAGATTGGTCAGTCAGATTAGTAAACTGGTGAATTAATCCTTTGGTCAATTTGCTCATTGAAGTAAAGCGGGTGTAAAGCAAACCAATTTAATCTAATCAACTCTAGATTAACCTAAAGAAAATCAGCTAACCCATTGGGTTGATCAAGTCACCAAGCTTTTTGAAAAAAAAATTTAGGAAATAAACTAGCGACCAAAAGAAAGGAAAGAAATGAAGAATATGGATGAATACAAGAAAGGGGATGAAAAAGAAGGAAGGAAAAAAAAGAGGAAAGAGATAATAACAACATGTATGGGAAAAAAACAAAGGAAAGACAAGGTAGAGGAAGACGAAAGTGTCGCTTGGGTCTCCAATAGCTTGCAGGCGAGGATAAATTTTTTTGGCTACTCTTGTTGGAGACACGACACTTGAGAAAGAGAGAGCGAGAGAATAGGATCCCTTGAGAGGCAAGACCACAAAAGAATTGAGCTATTTTAAAATACCTCTCCAAAAAAAAGATGAAAGTAGAAACCAAAACTAGACACCTAGAGAAGAAAGAGAAGGATGCGAAATTTCAAACTTTATTTTTTCAAAAATAGCCGTTACTGATACACGCATTTACTAACCTCTTATTTACCAATGCATGCCTCTTTATTTTTATTGGGACCCGTTGCTTTTTGACTTTTCAATTTCAATATTAATGATAACTGGTCACAAGCATTTCAAATATTAACATTTAAAATATTATTACAAAATATATTTTTTATACAATATTTTTAGGATTAATATTTTTTTATTTAAATATTTTTCATAGTCAAATTAAAATATTTTTATATGTTTTAATTAAATTTGATTATTTTTATTACGACTGATCTAACCTTAATTAAACCATTAACCTTTAAACAATTATTTTGACCAGCTCAATGATCAATTTAGTTTGCAATACTTGTGTGAAATCAAATACGAATTTGATATTTTTATTTTGATTCTTCCTGTTCTGCGTGTATCAATTATTTTATTTTTATATATTTTATTTTTATTTTTTATTTTAACATATGCAAAATTTAAAATAAAGCTAATCTTCTAATGGTAAAAAAAAAAAGAGGAATAAATTTATCATTTAAAAGTTTACAAATTAAAAGCTTAAAATATAAGTTGTGCAAATTTAATTTGAATCGTCCAACTTTTATGCTCATGATGCTCATCACTGATAGTTTTTAATTTATAAAAGTCTAATGGGTACCTATCTAAGTGGAATGGAGAACCCTACTCCAAAAACTACCTGTTAAAGTGGAAGAGCCAACCCACTTATATACCCTATTGAGCATTCCAAACTACTCAATGCAAGACTTGATATTCCATATTACTAAGTCTCCAACAATTGGCCACCCATGAAAAGTCAACGTCTCAACGGCTACACTCCATAACACTTAACTCAGTCTCCTTCTGGTTAAAACACTCTCTGTGGGTAGCCCTTTTCTGGAACCACCAACAACGAGGCTCTGATACCAATTGATAGGTACCTAAGTGGAATGAGCAACCCTACTTCAAAAGCTAGCTGTTGAAGTGGGAGGGCCAACCCACTTATATACCCTATTGAGCATTCCATACTACTCAATGTGAGATTTGATATCCCATACTGCTAAGTCTCCATCAAATGCCAATAATTTTAACATGAAAGAAATACTTCTCCGATCTTCTTTATAAGTCATTACTACCAATCTCATTAATACCAATGCAAAAAAAAACAAGGAATAAAAGTGTGTAGAATTCCAAATATTCCTTATATAACAAATCCAAAAAATAATATGTTATTTTTCTCTCTTTTATGAAGGGTGATTTTGAAAATACCTTTTAAATATTACCTAAAAAGCTGTACCGTGACTTAAAAATAGGATCAAATAGACCTTCTATAATGTGCCTTATAAATGGGACTGGAGGGAGTACTTAATATGGCTTAAATAACTTGGTATTACAGTACAAGAAATTTTCTTGCTCTCAAGACTGGGAAAAATAATTTATCTTGTCCTAATTTGATAGACAATTTTTTTTTCAAATAGCAACACAAAGTTTGATTAAATCAGGAACTTATTAAAATGCAAGTTACAATTAAAAGCTGTTAATGCAAGTAAACTAAAACTAAAAGTATATTTGACATACATTGATTAAAGGACGTTAAATGAAAATCAAGTCATATGTGTTTGAATTTACTTTCATAAACATGAAAAAAATACATAAAAGGTTGATAGGGGCAGTGCCACTGGGAAAATCCTGAAAACATGGGTGTTTTTCTTCTGTTTGACATACTTGGACATTTGATCCTTAGTAAGACCAAATGAGGTCCAGGCTATTTTACATGATAGACCACTTATGCTCTTGCAGCAGAACGGCAATGAGCATGTTCATTGGAAATTTTTTCATGCATGAGGAATTCACATACATGGTTGAGATCATTTAAAAAGACATCATAAATGAGATGTAAACCTCACCGTATATCCAGCATCAGCCACCAATTCAGCCATTTGTTCAGAACCTATGTCTTGCCCATACTCGTCCAACATCACAACCTATAATTGAATGCACGTGAGAACAAAATGTACAGATTGAAATAGCCAGTTTTTCTTGCGCACACATTAAGTGCAAGAAAAGATGCTAAAATACTGCGTTACTGCATATGTTTGAGACAATACCCAGTCATCAGATCTGATAAGGTCCATCACTGCTTTGTCTTCATCATCAACCTGAGCCCTCGTGTCACTGCAATGCAAACATTAAAGACCCATAATCTTTAACAGAGAATGAAGAGTGCAGTTCTTGTTATGCAAATTATAAATCAGGGAGCTTTGAAACTATAATAGAAGAAGGGGAAATCCAAACTTAGATGCCAATATTATCATATGGCAGGATGAGTCATGAACTCATGATCTATGATCAAGTTGAGACTACTTGAAAAAGATGCATACTTCCGGCTCTATTTGCTTTTCCACTCAGAGGTATTTAATGATTTTTCTGTTAAGACACAGTAGTCAAGTATTTAATCATGCCTATGTACAAGCTTAGGGCCTATTTGGGATTGCTGCAAATATCTACTTAAGTGCTTATTTTGAAGTATTTCTTTTAAAATGGATTCTCATTAAAAGAACAATGAGAAAGATGCCATTCGTGTCAGACAAAATTATTTGATGAGCATTTTTTTGATATTATTGTTTGGAAAATATTTCAAAAGGTTACTCCTTTACTATCAAATTGCTTAAAAAGGCATCTAGTTAAGAGGATAGATAAAAAAAAAGTATGAGGTAATTCCAGTAATTGATGATTTTGAATTAGGGATACATTTATCATTAAAAAAATTGCTTCCTCTACCGAGATGCTCCAACTTTTTGTTTCCTTCTGACAGCAGAATAACCAATATTGCTAGAACTGATAAACATTCACTGCTGAAAATGTGTGATGATGCATCTCATTCATTATGCCTAAGAATCCTAAAGGTGATACCTGGATAACTCAAAGTGGTAAGAATGGGATGATGAGGGGGTGGGGTAGGTTTGCATAGTGATTGGGATTCAAACCTTCCAAATACTAAAAGAAAAGGAACCCTAAACGAAATGTGAACCACAGTTACTCTTCTTCTCAAGTTCATCTCTCTTCCTCTCTAATTTTATTGCCTACACAGATCTGAAATACCAGAGCAATCATTAAAAATTCAGTCAAACAAAGCCCTAGTCAAATATTGTTTCAATTTGCTCTCTAACCTAAAATACCCAATACCCCAAATTTGCAAATACTGTTGACAGTGGTAGAACAGCAACCTGAATCAATTAATAACTGCATGGCACGTGAAATTGTAAATAATCAAGAATCTAACCCTGCATTTCTAGGATTTGATCATATTTAAACATCCTCAACACCGCAATAGTACTTGAGCTTTTGAACATACTCGTCAACCACGAGTTGTACAGCAGGAGATCGCTTTTTCCCAACCGACAATATATGTATAGGAAGTGCTCTCTGCAAAACACGAAAAATTGACACGAGAGAAGTTTGAGCTTGATTACTACACCCTCCTAAGGAAATCTCATCTATCCAGCTAAACGGTATGCACGCGAGCCGGTCCCCGTCCAAAAGGAACATAACTAAACCCTAAGCATTGAGGAATGCTAGTACGGGGAACAGCTTCAACATGCAGGTATGAGGTTAAACAATCGAATTTTAAGAACATGTACAGCATGAGAAATTACAAGACAAGAGGAACGGGTGGAAATGATTACCACTGATTGACCAGCGTATTTGCATTTTTCCCCTGAAAAATTTATTCATTAGTAATTGATCTAAAAAGCGAGAGAGTGGAAATTCAACGATGGGAAGCAGAATTTAAACCGACTGTGAAGATATTAGACAACCTTGAACAGGATTGGAACTCGTTCTGCTTGTCACAGCGCACAGGGATACTGCCATTCCCAACGGACGTGGCGGGAAGGACTCGCGGGGAGCTTCAACGATCTCTCTCTCACTCATATACAAGCCCCCGGTAGAAAAATCCTAAAGAAAGATAGCTTAGATGATATCAACATACAAAAAGCTGGTATATCTGAAGTTGAAAATTCAGAGGAGTCGAGTCTATTCGGCTCAAATAAGTCCAACCTGAATAGACTCAATATCTTGAAAAACCTGAATGATTAAACTCAGCCTAAATTCTTTTGGATTTCGGGCAGCCCGAATACCCAAATTTTATTTTAAAATTTATTTTAAATTAATTTTTTAACTTTAAAATTAATTATTTTATTTTATATAATATATATTTTTTATACTTAAATGATATATAGGACTCAACTATATGATATTTTAGCATAAAATCACTTAAAACTTAAAAAATTAATTAATTATTATTATATTTTATATATTTTTTAAAAATAAATTTTTTTATTCGAGTATTCGAGCTCAGCTTGAACCCGATCGGGCTTGACCCGAATAGGCCCAAACATAAAAAAATTATACTTTTTCAAAGCACAGCCTTTAATTTTTTCAGGCAGGTTTAGGCTCGGCTTGAATTACCGACTCTATATATAACCAATTGGTGGGATATCAAAAATTTATAGGATGTTTAGTTCGGTTTTATGAATCAGGATTACTTAATCCTAATTCATTTCTACCATTCATGTTGTTTGGTTGGTGCAAGGTAATGTAAATATGATTACATCATGTAATTAGAATTTAAAACATTGTAATCTGGATTACATCAAGGCACCTATGTAATCCTCATTCTTGGTACCAAAAATCAAGCTTCTACCATAGTACCCCTTCCTTCCTTTGTCTTCCCTTACTTTCATCACCGAACACCAAAATCGTCCACCTTTTGTCGTAGCCATTGACATCTATCCAAATCTGTCTTCCTTATCTTCCTCCTCATTCCTTCCTCACCACATCTTTACTAAATACTACCTTATTTTTCTTCACCATTCTTTATTCTCCATTCTCCTTATGAATCTAAGTTTGCGGCAACCCATTCGAAGTTCTCACCAAAAATTAATGGCAGCCACTTCAAAATTCAAACAAAGTACTATTACACTGCCATCTTTGACCTCTTATGTGATACCATGTGCAATCTTCTTCCTCCCCATTATCTAGTTGATGCTACCTCCCTCGATCTATACAGCCTCTATTGATCCCATTGTCGACGCATTAAAGTTTTAGTTTGAAAATTGATTTTATATATTGATTTTTCAATTTTGTTCTCTTTTAGTTTTGAAGGGTGTTTGCATTGCGATGGGATAAAAAGGCAAGGGATTTTTTTTTTGGTGCTTGGCTCGTGTTGGGAGGAGACTGACCATGGTGATCAGTGAGGATTGAAGAAGAGGATGGAATTATATCTTTTTATGAGGGTAGTTGCGTCTTTTTATTTTTATGTCAATTTAATAAAATATAAATATTAAGTTTGATTCCTATATTCTTAAATAACATACTAAACAAGCTCTTGGAATCCCTATTACATTACATTACATTCCTAGCTATTACATTCCATTACATTTCTAATGATTCCATGAACCAAATAGGCCATTAAACTTTCATATTAGCAGTAGTGAGTCAGCCAATCAGCTCTCTAAAGATATGTTTGAAGGTAACTGTCTAGTTTCTTATAGCAAGTTCTTTGGTTTTATTAATAGTTTCAGTGAGCGAGTGATTATTAGAGGATCCGTTATGAATGAGCATGAGTGCTTCAATAGAGTCAAAATAGACGTTGACTTTTTTGGACTTTTTATTTCAATGGGTGATAAGACCTTCAAGAATACCCATTAACTTAACAGTTGTGCTAGAATTATATTAAAGGTATTTCAAAAAGCCTGTAATTAAATTACCTTTGTCATCTCAAATAAGTCCACCACAGGCAACTGCACCATAGTTGTTTACTAATCCATCAATGTTAAGTCTAACCCATCCTGCTTTGAGGAGTAGCATTTTATTTTTGATCTATTACTTTGAGGAGACAAGCAGGTGAGTCTTTATTAAAAGTTGAGATCAATAAGAATATCTTAGATGACTGTAAAAGGAATTTGTTTATTTGCAGAGCTTTCTTTATAATAGATGCTTTTATATCTTTCCTTCCAAAAGTTCCAACATACGTGGGTAAAGAGTCTTTGCCAATGGAATTTTCTTGTGCTTGAACTCCCTGAATTGCTATTTTCATTCTCAAGTGTCCATTCCTACAATGGGAGAGAAAAGAAAGCATTAAATTTAGTTTGTTTCACTAATTTCATCCAAACCTCTCTAGCTTTCTTGCAATCTTTCAAAATATAGATAGATGAGTCCAAAATGTGACAATCAAAAGGGGATGTCCTAAATTAAGGGTTGGCATCATTAGAGTGGCTAAACTTAGATTATAGGCAATCCCAAGCTATAAGATTTAATTTTTTATAAGTAGGCCATTTCTAAATCTTGGACCAAATATCAAAGCTGGTGTTGTCTCTATGGCCCTCAATAGCCTTACAAGCAGATTCAATTGTAAAGTTACCATCAGTAGAAGGCCTCTAATAAAAAACATCTCATTTGCAAGGGGGTTAGGAGGTTAGACAAGTGTGATAAGGTTGATAATATCCTAGTGAAAACATCTATGTAATTGAGTTACTTTCCAACAGCCAGTGACAAAGCAAAAATTTGAAACTCTAGCATAAAGAAAAGAATTTGCTTTAGAAGAGGCATATTTAACAAGAGATTCAAGAAAGGGGGACAATTTATCATGATAGAAGGACATTTCATCCCCTTTTCAAACCTTCCAACCCACGTGAGTTATAAGCTAATCTTAGACTTTACAAATATTAATTAGTCCACGTGGAAGAATAAGAATTGGTTTTATAAAACCATGGGAATGGCTGGTTTGTTACATTTATATTTGTCGTGCAAGACTTGAACCTAAAGGTAGTTCGGCTTAGTAATGATACCTAAGAAAAGCTTCACAATGTAGGTCTTATTTTGACTTTTTAGATTTTTAAAGTTAAGACTTCCACAACTTTTATCCTTAATGATATGATCCTAAGTAATGAGATGTAGTTTTAGTTCTGTAAGTTAAGCCCTAGAGCAGGGGTGAAGCTAGAAAATTTCGTTAGGGGGCCAAAATGACAAAACATATGTGATAATCAAAAGAAAATTAAACACACACATACACACACATTACTAACATAACATAAATATTTCAACCTATATATTTATATTCAATTGTACATATATATAATAAAAAATAAATATATAGATATGTGAGCATGTGTGCATGTCCTATTTTTTTAGTTTTTCTTATTCATTTTTTATAGTATAAGAATAATTAATTATCATGTTTAAGATAAAATATTTTAAAATTTCCTTTACAATATAAATTATTATTAAATTGGTAAAGATTTCACCCTCTCCATAAGCATTAAATAATTTAAATGCATCCTTATTATATAAATTTTTGTTCAATATAAAAAACTCTATTACCTATTGATTGAATTTACTATTTAATCATTTCAATATATTTTGAGATTTTTGTTGCATTGCTTTATAAAGTTTGTTAGTAATAATTTTCATAATTTATATCATCAGATTTAAAATGAAAGTAAAATCAAATGATGTTTGTGAGCACTGTATTTTATTCGAATATTTTTTAAATATAATAATAATAATAAATTCAACCAAAAAATAAAATTTTAATAATATAGATAAAATAAAAAATCTTTAATTAATAGAATTTAAATTTATTTTAACTTATATAATCTTTTGTTTGCTGAGATTTTATTTCTTTTAGTTCATTAAGATAACTAAAAAAATATAAAAATACAAAAAAATTTAATCCTTTTTATGATTATATTTTCAAAATAATAATAATAATAATAATAATAATAATAAATTTTATATATCTTTGAAATCAATTTAAAAAAATATTGTTTAAATTTTTGAAAAATATCTCCCAAATTATCCCAACCATTCAAAATATTAGGAATCAATTTTTGTGAGTCAACTATTTTTAAATTTTTTTCCTTAAATCTTGTTATTTTTCATTTAAAAAAAATAAATTTTTGTTTAATCTAAAATTAGATTTTTAAATCCTTTAATCTAATTTTAGAAATTAATTAACATAAAAAAAATGATAAGTATAATGCACAGCATTTCACCACAGCACTAAAGGGTCTTCTTCGATGAGCAGAGAGCAGCCGCATACGTAGAAGAGAGAAAAGAGTAGAGAGCAGATGCATATGTAGAAGGAGAGCAAAGAGAGAGCAGATTCGGCCACACACAGAGCAAAAGAGAGAATAGCAGAGGTGCAGAAGAGCAGACGTACATGAACACGGCAAACACAAACACGACAGACGCGCACACACGACAGAGATGAAAACACAATAGAAGGAAAGGAATAGGCAAAAGACAGAGCAGTAATATGAGACTAAAGCATGTAGCGGTGAGTAATCGTCCTTCCCTTCTACTCTCTATATAAAGCCTAAGACTGAGTATGAAAAGGGGGACCGAGAGTCTAAGAATGAAAGCTGGATCCAGAGGGAAAAAAGAGAGACTGAGAGTTTGAGAGGGGAAGAGAAAAGGAAATCTGGGCTTTTAGGAGAGAGAACCGAAAGGGGGATATCTGGAGAGGGAACCAAAGATTGAGAGGGATTCGAGTTTGAAGCACATAAAAATGGAAAACAACTAAAAGCTAGAGGATGTTGAGCGATTTGGCACTCACAGAAGCAGAGCATGACACAGTCGAAGAATAGACTAAATATTCAAGGAAGAAGAGCCGATCGAAGATACCCACATCTACTCTCTGTAATAAGTTTAAAGTCAATTTTTTGTTCTTTTTGTTCCTAATTATGAGATTGCATATAGCCCTTCTATATAAGAGTTTTAATTTGTTTCTAAATACATGAATATGGAGCATCGAGCATGTTCTCTTTTTGATTAACAAAAAAGAACACCTTTGTTTTGTTCAAGGAATTTTTGGTTTGTGCATGTGTTTCATGATGGTTATGTGATTCAAATGTTTATAACAACTCCATTAATGTCCTTGAAAACTTTTAACCGTGGGTGTGATGATTACTTGAATGAGGATATTGTGTTTATAGCCTATTCATAGATTATAGCAAAGATAGACAAAAGAATATATAGTGGTGTGGAAAGAATGAATATATAGTGGTGTGGAAAGAATGATGTGAGAAATTTAAAATTTCCTTAAGATTGTTGGATATATAAGGGAGAAAAATCTTGCTTCTGTGGTGTTTTGTTTTTCATTCTCATTATTGGTGTTTGGCCTTTAATTATTTGAAATAAACATCACTATCACATCTTCATTTGGATTTGTGTGGGAAGTCTAATCATTTGTTTATTGGAATAATAGTGTGAAAGTAAAATGAGGTCCTTAGTCCTTGCAGCACACTTTTTTGTTTTACATCTACATCTAAATGAGTTGGAATATCCCATGGAATTATATCAAGCTCATGTCTAACACTGGATGAGCATATGAAAATTGCAGTTTTGTTTATGGATGGAATCATAGGCTTGACTTTATTGTGGGCATTATGGATGTGTGTTGATATAAGAATGCATTGTTCAAAGTCCAAAATGAATCACTTCACTGTCAAAATCACTTATGCTCCCCTTCAATATTTTGTTTGTTAAAATCCAAGATTTAATACATTATATTCATAGGTGTGATGATCAATCTTTTATATATTAAACATCAGTTCCAATGGCCCATCACTTACGCTAACAATTTTGTTATTATCTTTTCCTAAACATGATTTAAATCATTTAAAAATTAAAAGGTATCATTTGAGATTTAAAGAATCTTTGAAGATATTCAAATTAATCACCTCATCATGTAAGATAATAAGTCCTTGCAGATGTTGTGATTATTAATTTATATATGGAAAATAAATAAATAAATTTTGTAAATAAAATAATAAACATTTTCTTAATAATATTAACTAATTAAATTAAAAAATTTAAATTATAATCACATTTTCTGATTAGATCTTTTGGCCATATAAAATTTTTGACTATGTATAGATTTTTAAGATAATTATATTAGCATATGAGTCAATAAGACTTTACAAATATAATGATTAAGTTTTTAAAGAAATATATATAAATTATATACAAAATCAATTAAATTAAAAATATACTTAAAATATTATTTAATTCTTTATTGTGTGAGGATTTTGAATCTCCACAAATATTTAGGATAATCATATTGTCATATAAATCAATAAAGCTTTATAGGTATGATAATTAAAAGTCTTTTAAAAAATATATTTGTATGAACATACTTAAAAAATAATAATATTATTAATACTTAAAAATATAAGTAAATAAATTAAGTTATTAAACTCTTTTATTATGTGAGATTTCAAAATCTCTGCATATATTTAGAATAATTGTATGAGCCAATAAAGCTCTGCAGATATAGCGGTTAAATTTTTAATAATAAAATATAAAAAAATAGTTTAAACCCTTTACCTTTTTCTTATTTCAAAATTTCAAAAATTTTAAAAATAATTAAAATTAAATTACTTTTTACAATTTAAACCATACATATCAAAATTTTAAAAAATTATTTTATTTTCAAAATGGTGAATTATTTTTAATTAATTTTTCTTCAAAAAATATTTTCACCATCAAACTTTTAATCCCAAACTACATGAACGTTGATCTCCATCGCAAGGTATATAGGCCTCCGAGTCTGATTCTGAATCAAGTCCTCCCTTATAAATAAATAATTATTTTTCATTTAATTATTATTATTTTTATACCATACATGTGAATGAGAAAGGGATAATTAAAAGAACTTTAAAATTATATTAATTTAGCACAATTAACTTCAGATAATCTGTAACATCCCGAAATTTTAAGACTCGGATTTATAAAAAATAAAATAAAA